CTTTTTTTAGAAACCCACCTGGAAAACGCCCAAGCCACCAGAACCGGTTCCAAATATCCAGTTTTTCTAATTTGACATTTCCTTGGAAGACAAGCAATGCCATCTCTCTCTCTCTCTCTCCTTTGCAGCAACTTTTCCTTTTTTCCCCCCAAACGAGACTCAGGTTGGGTACCAGATCTTGGAGGGCTTGTCTGTAAAATGGCCTGAGAAGATATCGTGGTTTCCAGGCGCCCCCCGGTGGCGAAAAGCAGCCTGAAGTCCTAAAACTTTGCTTTGGTCATCCATAACTATGTTAACTCTGGACCCGGATGTTGGGTTGAGTACTTGGGAGATGAAGAGTTGTGAGTCTGGTGACCTAAAGCAGCTTTTATATGAGGGGTCCTTGGTGGTCTCTGAGCTTGGTTGCTCTCTTGCAGACGTGTCATTACCTATCTAGGTAAAATCATCAGTGCAAGAAGGATTGCAGAGGAGGAGGAGGAATGCCGGGTCCTTGGTGCTGTCTGAGCTTGGTTGTTTTCTTGCAGACGTTTCATGACCCAACTAGGGAACATCATCAGCACTAGGAAGGAGTGTGAGTTGTGCAATGAAGGAGAAAAAGGAGAGGAGGAAGAGAAGGAGAAGAGGGGAGAGGAAGAGGAGGAAAAAGAAGACTATAGGTCGTAGGTGCTCTCTGAGCTTGGTTGTTTTCTTGCAGACGTTTTATTACCTGTCTAGGTAACATCATCAATGCATGAAGGGAGTTGGGTTTGCAGAGAGCAGGAGGAGGAGGGGAAAAAAAGAAGACTTCAATGCCCAAGGCAACCGAACATTTTGTGACCCTCACAACACGAAGGATGATAAAAACATCAAAATGGCTCTTGCAGGTCCAGAGCTCAATGTCGTATTTTCTACAATTTGAATTTGGGCTTTCTGTGACTCTCCCCACCCCCACCATCCTTTTACAAGCCATGGTTTATTGCTTTGTAGGGTTAGGGCAGTCCCAGTTAATTGAAACTGAAGCCTTCGACTGTGGTTTAGTGCAAAGGGCGAATGTAGGCTTGAAACAGAAGTTCCACGAAATGGCAATTTAACCACCTAAGACCCAATCTAAGCCTGGCCTGTTCTTGGCCCAGTCTAACCCTGGATTATTGTGAATGTCAGAATGTTGCCGGGGTAAAACCGGGGCTCCAAACAGAAAGGCTGAATCCAAATGTAAGTTGACTGGCTGGTCCCTTGATTACAAGAACGGGAAGCTGATTAAACCACGTTAAAGCGGGATTAATGTGCAATTTGTGGAGATCCACTGAGATTCTCCGGAATTTAAACGATGCCCCGGAGTCTTATTGCCATGTTAATATGGGGGGAATATATATATATATATATATTTAAATCTGTTCGCAGTTCCATGGGTATTTGGGCCGGAAGAAGGCATTCCGCAGCATTTAAAGATATGGTTTAATTTACTTTTAGGTTTGGCTGGAAATCACCAAATCACCCCTTTGGGGGCACAAATCAGATATCCTTGCCAATTAATCCCATTTGGGGAGGGGGTCTTCTCCTCCAGAGAGCCAGCTCTTCTTCCTTTTCAACCCCTTTGGAGCTTGAAAGCGTTCCCCGTCTTGTCTAATTCCATGTGACACCCATGACCGAAAAACTCTACCTCCAGAATAGGCGGTTTCTATGGCTTTAATTGGGGACATTTCTTCCTTAATTCGCTTTAATTAGACAAATTGGCCGTGGCCTCCAGCAATGGCAGAGAGGCCCTCACGGTGGAAGTCGGGAGGTTAATAGCAGCTAAAAATAGCTCCTGGATAAGGGCCCCCGAGTTGCAACGGGGAGCAAGTGACATTCCTTCCTACTAAGAGGTGGAAGGTGGGTGGCTGGTGAGGTTCCGGAGGGCACGTTGTGTTTGAACTCGATGCTCCTGATTTGGTCGGCTGCCCAAGTAAACAGGCCATCTTCTCAAAACGTTTAGCGGAACGTCTAGCCAAAGTTGGACCTGAATTTTTTGAACATCCAGGGAGGATTGCGTAGAGTTTCCTCCTACAGGGTGTAGAACAAGAAGGCAGATGAGTAGCAGCTGTTCAAAGGTATCATCCAGGGGTGAAATCCAGCAGGTTCTGACAGGTTCTGGAGAACCGGGAGCGGAAATTTTGAGTAGTTCGGAGAACCGGCAAATACCACCTCTGGCTGGCCCCAGAGTGGGGTGGGAATGGAGATTTTGCAGTATCCTTCCCCCTAGAGTGGGGTGGGAATGGGGATTTTGCAAATATCCTTCCCCCAGGAGTGGGGTGGGAATGGGGATTATGCAGTATCCTTCCCCTGCCATGCCCACCAAGCCATGCCCACCAAGCCACAGAACCGGTAGTAAAAAAATTTGAATTCCACCACTGGTATCATCTCAAGTAAAAGAAGGAAGGAAAGAAGGAGAGAGGAAAAGAGAAGAGGAGAAAAGAGAAGGGAAGGGAAGAGGGAGGGAAGGAGGAAAGAAGAGGAGAGGAGAGAGGAGGGAGGGAGGGAGGGAGGGAGGAAGGAAGGAAGGAAGGAACAGAGAGATTGAATACCAGAGCATCTTTCTCCTAGTGCCGTGATGGCAAACCTATGGCACGCGTGCCTGAAGTGAAACACGGAGCCATATCGCCCGGCACGAGCGACATCGCCTGTTCCTCTTCCGGGGTTCTGGCACACATGCATGCGTGACAATCAGCTGGCCTTTTTGCATGTGGCAGTGCCATAAACTAGAAGAGCTGGTCTTCCATTTTCCTGCGTGAACATGCATGCCGGCCAGCTGATCGTCGCGTCCACATGCGCACCAGAAACCCAGAAGAGTAGCTGGCTGAAACCGGAAGTTCTTTTTCGGGTACGCGCATGTGCCCTGGGCAGCTCCTCTTCCGGGTCGCGGCCCAGACGCGCACTCAATGCCGAAAAGGTTTGCCATTGATTGTTATATTCCGAAGAAGCCCACTTTGTAAACCATACAACAGTGTTTTTCCAGGTACAGCTTGAAGATGGGTGCCTAGCGGACTGGGGGATTCTGGGAGTTGAAGTCCACAAGTCTTAAAAGTGCCCAAGGTTGAGAAGTCCCGAGCAATGGGACAGAAGTGAGACAAAGCTCTATTTTATCTCTGCCTTCCTTCGAGAGCTCATATTTGTCTGAAAAGGAGGCCACCAGGTGCTATCATCGGCCCAGCGGAAGGGCTCCTCTTCCCAGTCGCCACTACCCCCCCTTATCTTTGCAAGAGCCGCGATGGATTAAGAAGCGGGACAAAGAGCCAACGCTTCAAAGCATCTCCTGAATAGAAAGGCATCTCTCTGTCCCAGAGGGTCTCCGGGCACCGCGGCACCGCTATCAGCCTGGTTGAGATGCAGCACTGCCGCCCAGTGATAAAATACACACGCACAGGTCCCCAGAGCCGGAGGTCGTTGCAGAGATCGTGTGGACAAGAGGCCAGCTGGCTTTGGATACAAAAGGGGCCGCTTCACCCTGGGAGCAAAGAAGGCGCTTGCAAGACTGTGCCAAGCAAGCCGACTGTGAGGGATCATTTGCAGGACCCTGGACAGCTCCTGCCGGCCTGGGATGGAGGGGTTGGGAAGTTTACAGAACCAGATTCAGTCTTCTTCTTCCTCTTCCTCTTCTTCTTCTTCTTCTTCTCTTTTCTTTTCTTTCTCTACTTCCTTCTTCTTCTTCTTCTTCTTCTTCTTCTTCTTCTTCTTCTTCTTCTTCTTCTGCCATATCCGTCGGCAGTCCTATTTTTATCAACATGCAAAAGGACTGCTGAGTTTTGTCCAAACCGGTCCCTTAGATTTTTGAAGCCACGATGTTCTTCTGCCTGGACCTGGTTGGCCTTCAATTTTTCCTTGGAGGATTGAGTGAGGGATGCCGTATTTTTCCAGGTGGCGCATCTCATGTCTGAAATATTCTAACTTTCGCTTTTTCATGGTTTCGATGATTTTCCTTGGCTTTCCCAGGCAAGCTTATCCCCTCCTCGTTTCAGCCTTGCAGGGATGCAAAGGGGGTTTACGGTAGGGTGGTCCAACTGGAATCTCTGCTCTCCTCTCCACCTCACCCGTATTTTCTCCTCTGCCTTCAAGGGCTGGGAACGGGGTTACCGGCCACTGGGCTGCCCCGCCTTGCAAAAACTGGCTCTCCAGAGGTGTCATCCTAAGGCCCCGCTTGCAAAGGGCCAATTGCAAAGCAATGCACTTTTGTGTGTGGGTTTGTGGGGTGCTCAGCCGTCCTGGAATTACTGCTCCCTCCCGGAGGGGCTCCTTCTGTCTCAAGAGATGCGGAGCGGAGTCCGTGCAGGGCATGGGGGTGGGGGTCCCGCTATCCGAGCGGTTAAAGTAGCTTCCCCATTCTTGCTTGGTCCCCAAGTCTTGACCGAGCCTGGAGGAGACACTCCTCGGAGGTGCCACAAGAGGTCACTATCGAGAAAGGGTTGCTCGAGAGACGGAAGTACAGCAACACAGACATACACATATTATCCTGCAGACTATAGAGATAAAAAAAATATAGAGTTGCACACTCAGTTGCTTTAGAGTTGCATGCTCAGTTGCTTTCTATTCCTTTTCTCAGGATCACTCAAACTCCCAGAATTCCCCAGGCAGCATGCTTTAAGATGGTTGGACTTCGACTCCCAGAATTCCCCAGGCAGCAGGCTTTAAGATGGCTGGGGGTTTGAAGTCCAGATATCTTAAAAGATATTAAAAGATTTCCAGAGCTTGAAGTCCACATATCTTAAAAGTTTCTGAGGCTGAGAAACGTTGTTCTACGTTTAATATCTTGCTGCTACCTTGTAGTTTCTGTTCCTAAAGAGGGCAATGGGATATGTTGGTGTCTGCAGAGAAGTTCCACCAGTGCCGAGCCAAAAAATTAAAATATTTTCCACCCATGTAGTGTCACAGTCTGGAACGTGTTCCTAATCCAGAGACCTTTCTGAAGCAGGGGGGTTTCCTGGAATGACTGGCAGTGCCCCAAATGACCAAATTAAGAAGAAAGCATCCAGATGACAACAAATAACTTGCATGCACCCAAATATTTATTAAAACAAAACCAAGTCAGGAACTATGAACAGAAAAACCGGAAACATGCCACCCCTGCCTGTAAGGATTTTTATTTCCTCTCATCGCCCGCGGGGTTTTTTTTTAATGGTTACCCCCTTGTTTAATTTAACCCTGTAACAGTTCCCAGCATCGAGACACAGAACTGCAGCAGCTGAGAGAGAATCGGGGGGGTAAAGAAGTGCAATTTTTAGAAAACAGAAGAGGTGGAAAATCGGTAGTGTAATAGCAATAAAATACCAAAGCCAAGTCATGTTTGTAAGCTGCCTGGAGTCGCCTCGACGTGAGACAGGTGGCAAACGAATCAAATAAATTAAATTAAATTAAACTCAAGATCTGTTCCTGACTGATCCCTCCACCCTCAATGAAAAAGATACTTCGGCTGCATTTCAGGAGGGTTTCCATGGCTGTGATAGTTGCCTACTTTTGGTGTGTCAATTGATCTTGATAGGTGTGGTACTGGCCATAGATCAGGGGTCTCCAACCTTGGGCACTTTAAGACTTGTGGACTTCAACTCCCAGAATTCCTCAGCCAGCAAAGCTGAGGAATTCTGGGAGTTGAAGTCCACAAGTCTTAAAGTGCCCAAGGTTGGAGACCCCTGCCATAGATGACTTTGGAATCTTTTGCAAGACTTGCAACCAAATAATAATTTGCTCACGGACAAAAGGTATATATAAATATATACCTGCAGCCTCGCAGCGCAACCTTGTTCCCAAAATCAGACAGCTGGTGCTTAAAAGTTTCCTCCCCATTGCCGAAACCCTCCATCTTGAGAAACGATGATAAAGGAGCCGCTCTTTCTCGGACAATTACCAGAGACATAAGATGACAGACCCAGGCACCAGAAAACCTCACAGTCTGATGAATCTGGCAAGCCACGGAAAGCTCTAGTGTGCCCCATGGTGTTGTGGCATTCTTTTGGAGTGAGACTGAGTAAATTGGAGAGTGGCAGGGTCCCCGGAACTGATGTCGGAAGGCAGTTGCTGAAGGGATCCTTGACTGGTGAAGGAAGAGGAGAAGGTGAGGCTGGATTCTGGTAAGAAAAAGACACGGGGAAAAGACACGAGAGTTAAGAATTCAGTAATAGGGACAGTAACAGAATGGGAAGGGATCTTGGAGGTCATCTAGTCCAGTGTTTCTCAACCTTGGAAGCTTGAAGATGGGTGGACTTCAACTCCCAGAATCCCCCAGCCTGGGGGATTCTGGGAGTTGAAGTCCACCCATCTTCAAGCTTCCAAGGTTGAGAAACACTGATCTAGTCCAACTCACACACTGCTCACGCACAGACGAAAAGGAAACATGCTGGCTGTTTGGGGAATGGCGTCAATCTGGCCACGCTCACCCAGTTGGCCACCCCTATCCTCCACTCCCACCCCGTGGTCAACCACAGCCCTGATGTGGTCCTCAAATGAAATTGAGTTTGACACCCCTCGACTAAGCAGTCATGTGGCAAAGAAGCAGATGCAGTTTTTACTTCTTGACCCCGCTAGGAGTCCCTGAGCAAGATGCCAAGGGTTCCAAGGAAGCAGAGGTGACTCTGGAGACAAAGGTCCCACCTTCTCAAAGGTCCCTGGTTGGGCAAATCTGCCATACGTAGCCTCAGGCTCAAAACCGCTTTTTAGTTTGCCGTAGGTTTGGGCGAAATGTCAAGGAAGCAGTCCCAAGAGGCCAGTGGTTGGAAACTCACCTGCCCGAAATGCCATAGTTTCCTCCATTTTCTTTACCAACTTCTTCCAGTATTCTTTAACCTGAGGGGCCACTGCGTCAACGAAGATATACAGGACAACCAGTCCGATGACGACAGCCATTGAAATCTGAGAGAAGGAAAGAGGAGAGAAAGAAGGGTGGGTTGAGCAGCCCCGTTGCCATGGTCTTCGTATCCTGTTGGCCCAGGAATGCTCAGCCTTCGTTTTAGTTAGGGTGGGGAGAATAATTTGGGGGAGGCGGACGACACCCCAACCTCCCACCAGGTGAGATCCGGGCAGGCCGTTTTTGGTCTTCTGAAAGGGCTTGAAAACCTAGCTCTGCCAACTGGCTTCAACAGGAGTGTGTCATTCTGAAGACGGTTAATGGCTTAAGACAATGTTTGCCATCTCAAAGTTGGCAACTTGAAGATGTGTGGACTTCAACTCCCAGAATCCGCCCAGTCAGAAATGCCTGCATGGGAATTCTGGGAGTTGAAGTCTGCACGTCTTCAATTTGTTAAGACTGAGAAAACACCGGACCACGATAAGATCCCACGTCCTTTTCATGTGCACCTTGCTTCCTTCCTCCCTATTGAAACAATTTTCACGCCGATTTTAAGGGTTTATCTTATTTTTTTATGATTGTAAGCCGCCTATAGAGTCGCTTCAGGTGAAAACAGTGGCATATCGGTTTTATGGAGAAAGAAATGGCATTTTGATGAACACGGGCTATCACAAAAAAAAAAAAAAAAGATCCTGCCCTTTGAACCTGGGGTTACCGAACTAGCCTTGAATACGGTTCTGCCATAACGGTTGGGAGCCACCCAGAGTTTCATAGAAGATGGGTGGCCATGTAGATGTTTTGAATGAATGAATGAATGAATGAGCACTTTTCTGAGTTAATTTCCCCTGAAGTATTTCCCCCCAGATGTCCACCCTGAGATGATGCGTCATCTCTTTGCATTTGTCTTTAAGAATGTGGGAGGTTGATCTGCTTGGTTTATGCCGTGTCGGACACAAAGGATCCACATCGTTCATTAATTAAGTTGCAGTTGGAAGATTTCATGCTCGAGCCCGAACAACAAGAATCTAGTCAACTGAAGATCAATACTAATACTAAATTGGAGCCGGATAAGGCTCTGTGGAATTCAAGAGGGGTTGGAAGTGGCAATCTAATGATTCTAAGCTGCTGCTGAGCTTAACTCTGCCTCCCAGCTCTACCTGGGAATGCCCCCCCCACCCCCCAAAAAAAATTTGGGTTTCAGAGGGCGACGTTGCCCTGGAAAAGCCAGGAATGAATTTATGACCACTGGTAGGTATGACAGTAGATCCTCCTGTCACTAAACCAGTGTCTTTTTTGGTAGGACAACAAAGCACTTAGCCTCCCAATCCCAGAGGGGAACAACCGGGGTGGGGGTGGGGTGTCTCTGGGGCTGAGGACACACAACACTTGTCAAGAGTCTCCTTGCTGAGTTCGCTGGCTCTTCGCCTTCCATTTACACGTGGACTATGCTTCCCAACAGGGTTGCCCTTCACACTACCCCTGAACCAGTGGTGGGTTGCCTCCCGGTTCGCACCGGTTCTATAGAACCGGTAGTAAAACCAGCGGGAGGCTCCGCCCACCGACCCCGATGTCATCAGGCATGCACAGAAAAGTGCGCACGTGTGCAGAAGAGCGCGCGCGGCCCCGTTGCGAACTGGTAGTAAAGGTATTTAGAACCCACCCCTGCCCTGAACCTGACCGAAGCCATCTTGGAGCTTCAGTGTGGCCACACTGGAGCTGAGGGATAGGGAGGGGGGATTTCAGATAGCTGGGACTTTGTAGCCAAAATAGAATACTTTCTCTTGGGAACCAAGGACATTCTCACACCTGGTCAGAGGAAGGAGGAGTGAGGTCACCGAGCAACCAGACGGAGTGGTGATTGGACCATGTGACTGATTGTTTTGAGAAAATGAAAAAACGTTTATTTTTAATCAGGTGAAAACCGTGGGAACCTTCAGAGTCATTTTTCACCAGATCTGTGCCGATATGATATATCCAATAAAGCTATTCTTTGAGGAATCTACCTGCCTCGGAGTTTTGCTTGCTATGGGTGGATTACTTGGAACCCTGACACCTTTGTCTTTGTCTTTGTCTTTTATTAGATTTATATACTGCCCTACTCCCGAAGGACTCAGGGCGGTGAACAGGCACAAAATAAAATACATAAATACAAAAGTTAAAAGATATAATTAAAACCAGATTAAATAATTTAGCCAAAGACAATTAAAAAATCCCAATAATTTAAAACAAATTAAAATTTCGATGGAAAAGAATTTTAAAACAGGGGAGAAAATTAGGCTAGGCCGGCTTGCTGGAATAGAAGAATCTTAAGAGCACGGCGGAAAGTGCGTAGATCCGGGATCCTCCGTATCTCTGGGGAGGAGCTCCTTCCAGATAGTGGGTGTCCCCACAGAGAAGGCCCTCCCCCTGGGGGCCGCCAGTCAACACTGTTTAGCTGACGGCACCCGGAGGAGCCCCTCTCTATGAGAGCGTACTGGCTGGTGGGAGGCTGCTTGTGGTAGTAGGCGGTCCCGTAAATCAAAGCCCAGCTATCTTACCTTCATTATGTGCAGGGCCCGGGTGGGGCTGAGGCGCAGGCCGTGGATGTGAACGATGAACTCCAAGGCATAGTCGCAGTAGGTGGTTTGGTCGACCCCCCTATGGAAGCAGACAAGAAGAGAGAGAGGTGGGCCACCGGACCAAAACTTCCGTCTGTCAACCCTGAAGCTGATCTGACTGAGGCCATTTGGGGGCTTCAGTGTTGCCATACTGGAGCTGAGGGATAGGGAGGGGGGGGATAGAGATAGCTGGGGTCAAAATACTTTCTCCTGGGAACCAAGGACATTCCCACAGGTGGTTGGAGAGAGGAGGAGTGACGTTACCAGGCAACCGGACGGTACCTTGATTGGACCATGTGACTGACTGTTTGGGGAATTACTTGTAATTAGGTGAAAACCGTGGGAACATTCAGAGTCAGTTTTCACCAGCCTGTGCCAAAATGATATATCCGATAAAACTGTTCTTTGAGGAATTTACCTACCTCGGAGTTCTGTTTGCTATGGGTGTTATTACTTGGAACCCTGACACCATCCTTTTTTTAAAAAGTTTTCCCTCACCTCACAGTGATTAAATCTCATCGCAGGCTCTTCCCTCCTAGTTTTCTACATCCGTGTTTCTCGACCGGGGCAACTTTAAGAAGTTGAACCTCAGCTCCCAGAATTCTGGGACTTGAAGTCCACCTGGTCAGGCGTGAAAGACTGAATCCACACGTAAAGGTTCAACGAAACGGGATTTACTGCTAGTCATGCCTAAGCAGAGGAATCTTCTCGACTAACATTTAGCACCTGCTTGGAGTTAGATAAGGGTCATCGGAATTCAAGGGAAGTTGGACTTAGTTCATTTGTGGCTATGTAGGGATTCCAGGCCGATTCCTCTTTTAATTCTGGTCTCAGGTTCTGCCACTCCTTCCCCTACCCCACCCATCTTAAAATTACTGAAGTTGAGAAACACTGTTCTACATAATCCAACAGTCTCCAGATCATGGGCCTCACTCTTGCAGCAGGCTAGTAATTCAATGGCGACATGCTACACACGTATGCACAGACGTGCACATAGACACAGACACCCTTAAAAAAGGCTCTCTGTGTGCCTTCTGGCATGATTTCACCCCACTATGGACAGAGTAATCAGTTTCTACATCTACATCAAAGAGCCTTGATAGTACAGTGGTCTAAAGCACCCTGTTATTAACACAGCTGCCTGCAATTTACTGCTGGTTCGAATCTCTCCAAGGCTCAAGGTTGACTCAGCCTTCCATCCTTTCTCAGGTAGGTAAAATGAGGACCCGGTTTGTGGGGGCAATAAGCTGACTTTGTATAAAATATACGAAAGTATGAAGGCTATTGCTTAACGCATTGAAAGCCGCCCTGAGTCTCCGGAGAAGGGCGGCATATAAATCAAATTAAAAAAAAAAAAAATCACAAGTACCTGTTGGAGACTTTTATCACAAAGTAATAATTGGGAGTGGCCATACTTTGGGGGACGATATCGTAACACGGAGAATTTTTCTGACAAATCCACCTAAAGGGAAAAAGAGAATTTCTGCCAGGCAAGATCCTACAATGGGATGCTTCATATCTCTGGGTGGAATCCTGTTTTTTTTAAAAAAAATTTAAAGATTGGGTTTGGGTGGTGTAAAGTACAATCCAGTAGGGGGAGTTAAAAAGGAACTCTGTGCTGAAGGAATCCTGAATGAAAACAAGGCAGGGTTCACACTGCCCGGTTCTATCCGGCTCGCCGAACTGGTAGCACCGGCGGCAGGAGGCTCCGCCCACCCGCTGGGATCTCATTACGTCCCGTTTTTTTACCCTCTGCGCATGTGGTGAAGACTCTGCACATACGCAGAAGAGGCGCACATGCATATAGCACGCACACGCATAGCACGCTCCCGCTCCCGAACCGGTAGCGAAGGTAAGTAGATTTCACCGCTGGTTCACACAAAGCTCTAAGTTGCAAAGCATGGCACTCTGTGTGAGCTAAACCCCTTTCATTTATTCTACCAACCCAACTGTAAAAGCTTCAATTAGAGAGAACCCAACCTGTGGGGCGCCCTTGAAACTCTCAGAGCTTGGTGGTGTTCTTGCAGACGTCTCATTACCCCACTAGGTAACATCATCAGTGCTAGAAGGGAGTGGGGGTTTGCTCTCTCTCTTTATATACAAACGGCTTTCCTTGCCAATGTTGTGGGAGTGTGGTTTTCTCTTTGTTAATTCCTTGAGTAGGGAATTATTTAATTGGGGAACTTCTGAATTAGGAAACTAGCTGTGGGGTCCGTGGTGCTCTCTGGGCTTGGTTGTTTTCTTGCAGACATTTATTTATTTATTTATTTATTTATTTATTATCGGACTTATATGCCGCCCTTTCTCCACAAGGACTCAGGGCGGCACACAACAATAAACAACAACAAGTCCAATTAAAATTCAACAATAAAAACTAAAATTCCCATTAAAACCCCGTTCAGTCCAGGCCAGCTTGGCGAAACAGCCATGTTTTAAGGTCACGGCGGAAGGAGCGAAGGTCGGGCGGGGGGGGGCTACCCGGAGCCAACTAGGAAACATTATCAGGGCTAGAAAGGTGTGGGATTTGCTCTGTTTATAAACAGTGGGTTGCCCTGTCAGTGTCGGTGGGAGTGGTCTTGGGGAATTCCCTGATTAGGCTGTTGTTTAGAGTTTGATTCAATTTTTTGTCTGAGTTGGTAGCTTCTTGATTGGGGTATTGTTATTCAAGGTTGACTCAGCCTTCCATCCTTCCAAAAAGGTGGGTAAAATGAGGACCCAGATTGTTGAGGGCAATAGGATGACTCTGTAAACCTCTTAGAGAGGGGCTGGAAAGCACTGTGAAGCGGTATATAAGGTGTAGGAAGTTAGCACCCACCCCTTTCCTGGAAGAGTGAAATATTTTAGGAAATATGAAAAAGGCAGAATATTATATTTCCCTGGATGAGAAATATGAGAAGCATATTTTACAGACAAAGCAGCTCCCACCTTCCTGCCCCCCCACCCTTTGTCAATGGGCCATTAAGGCCTGGGCCAGTCTACTCTACATAACAAAGATCTGCCTCCTTCAGGCAGAGCCATAGTAGGAATTGCCCAAGATCCAACAAAGATAGGATTAGCCCTCTACCCATCTAGCAACAGAAACTCACCACATGTGACCTGGGAAGCACATGTGACCATCAGCCAGCAAGGCCCCCACCCCCTGGGAGTCTGACAACCAATCAGGATACTCTTTTGGGGCCCCAAGAAATGCAGAGCCAGAGACAGCATAAAAACCCGAGGATTTACTGTATCTGCCCTTTTCTGTTCAGGAACTCAAGCCATGTGATCCTGTCCACCATTAAACCATCTTTCCAAGCAGTCTCCATGTTTCCAGTGTCTGTTTTCCCCACTTGGAGCAGAACCTAGAAGGATGTTTCTTCCAACAATGGCTATTGCTCTTCCTTTTCCCCCTCCCTCCCTCCCTCCCTCCCTTCCTAACTTCTTTCCTTCCTCCCTCCCTCCCTTCCATGGTGTGCAGTAGTTAGAATGCAGCATTGCAGGCTAACTTTTACCCACTGCCAGGAGTTTGATCTTGACTGGCTCAGGGTCGACTCAGCCTTCCATCCTTCCAAGGTCGGTAAAATGAGGACCCAGATTGTGGTGGGGGCAAGAGGCTGACTCTGTAAACCGCAAAGAAAGGGCTGTAAAGCGGTATATAAATCAAACTCTAAGTGCTATTGCTATTGTTTCCTATTTGGTTGTTGGTCTATATCCAAGCCTCTTTCACTGGAGGTGAGAATTTGAAGACTGTACAAACCCAAACAGACAAAAGCGTATCTTTCACAGTCGAGCTTACACAATTCCAGAGTTGCTTTCAGAGAGGACCGGGAATCCTTCCTCGTTGGTTTCATCAATTTCTATGTCGGCTCTCGCCCATATCAAAGCTGACGAATTACTAGGGAAGCCGAAGACAGATCAAAGACAAAGTTGGGCTTTGCAAAGGTCCACATCAGAAATCCACCGCCCCTTCCCCCCCACCCCTCACCCGTTTTTTGCAGCAGATCCTCCACTCCTGACTGCCACGCGCTCTATAGGGGGCTACCCTAGAAGACTATTCGGAAGCTGCAGCCGGGGCAGAACACACAGTTCTCTCTCTCTCTCTCTCTCTCTCTCTCTCTCTCTCTCTCTCTCTCTCCCTCCCTCTCTCTCTCTCTCTCTCTCTCTCTCTCTCTCTCTCTCTGTGTCCAAATTCAATTCAGACTGGGTCTACGGAGCAGCCTGCTGAAAAGTCACCTGACAGTGTTGTACATTATGATCTCTTCCTGAGTGAAGTATCGGATGTTGCTCTTAGAAAAGGCACCTCCGCCAATGATGCTAAAGAGGTAGCTGTCAAGAGAACAAGGAAGACGGAAGATTCAGATTCAGAATAGAGCTGGGAGGGACCCTGGAGGTCTTCTAGTCCAACCCCCTGGCTCAAATAGGAAACCCTGTTGTCTCGTTCCAGACAAATGGCTGTCCAGTCTCTTCTTAAAAACATCCGGTGATGAAGCACCCACAACTTCTGAAGGCTAATTCTTCTCACTGATTAATTAATTGTTCTGTGATGTAACAAACACATTTATTTTATTTATTTATTTATTTATTTATTTATTATTTTATTGCAATTTATATGCCGCCCTTCTCCCGAAGGACTCAGGGCGGCTTACAAGATAAAAAAATTCAACAATATGAATTAAATATAAGTTAAAATCCAATTAAAATTAATTAAAATTATTACAATGTAAAACCCCCTCAACGGGTCAGTCCATTTGATGAAAAAGCCACATCTTCAACAACATCATTGTTACTTCAGCCAATTTACACAATTCCCCCCTCCCCCTTTGGTTAAATATGATTTGCACAGCTTGTCAGGTTCCGATGTCATCTCAAATAAATTGCATTCCCAAACAGTTAATCTTTGCTGAAATCTTCCACTTCGTCGCAGCCGATACTAACCCTCTGACCCCAAACCCTTCCCTTTCCGTTCCCCAATTCTCAGCGTCTCATTGGCCATTTTCCAAGTCAGTCTCCCCAGCTCCTGACTTCAACCCACAGGAATGTCCCCCCTCCCATCCCATCTCCTAGGGGATATTATCTACAGAGAAAATTAGGTGAAAAGTCAAGCCTCGTCTTCTCCTCTTTATGGCAGCATTAGAATGCTGACACAGCTGAGATGAAACCTCTCTTTTTGGGTCTTCTCCCCCCACCCCCCCACCCCGCAGGTTTTAGATAGCAGGAACTGAAAAGCCACCGATTGCCAAAGCAGATTCTCTAAAGATTGCTCAACCTCAGCGATGTGAACATGTATGGACTTCAACTCCTAGAATTCCCCAGCCAGCTCTGGGCAATGATTCACTATCAGGCTGATCAAAGCTGCCACCACTCCTCTCTCTCCCTCTCCCTCTCCCTCTCCCTCTCCCTCTCTCTCTCTCTCTCTCACACACACACACACATACAGAGGGGCAGGGAGAAGGGGAGGGGGGGGAAAGAGAGAGAGCGAGAGCCAGCCTTCTGATGCTGATGTAGGCGCTTCCTTCAACCAGTCTTCTTCCTCTTCTACCTCTTATTGCCCAGACTCCAAAGGCAATGCTCCATTCTCCACCCCAACCCCAGTTCCCAACTCTACAAGGCCATGGAGACCTGTCCCCACCACTCTTACCTGCCATGGAATCGTCCTGAGTCTCCAGTCACCATGTCTTGGATCAAGAAGAATGGGTAGAACACTGCAAAGGAAAACAAACAAACAAACTTGCTCCAAGTTCCCAAACTGGAGTAGATGGGAACACGGCAGGGGTTGCGCTGGGGTTCCCGGCCTGTCTCTCGAAAGGTTTCCAGCGTGTGATTGGTTCAAATCCAACACCAATCCTTGAAGCTGGCTCTAGAGGAACTGGATTCACATGTTGGTTTGTTTTTTGCATTCGTGCTTTCTGAGTAACTCAGGATTAGGCACAGGGCAACTTTAAACATGCATGCATAGATGAACACAGAGAGGCTTTGTCCTAACTATGTTGGCCTCTAACCTGGATTCCCTGAATGATGGTAGATTCCAGGAATGGGATGGAAACATGGTTGTCTCTATTACTGGCAATAATGAAAATGATGATAACAAAGCAAAAGAGAAGAAGAGGAGGAGGAAGAGGAGGAGGAGATGGAAGAGGAAGACTGTGGGGTCCTTGGTGATCTCTGAGCTTTGTAGTTTTCCTGCAGATGTTTCATGACCCAACTAGGGAACATCATCAGTGCTACAGGCAGTGGTGGGATTCAGCCCGTTCGCACCACTTCGGGAGAACCGGTTGTTAACTTTCTGAGCAGTTTGGCAAACTGGTTGTTGGAAGAAATCATTAAGGCAGAGAACCGGTTGTTAAATTACTTGACTCCCACCACTGACTACAGGGGAATAGGGTTTGCAGTGAGGAGGAGGAGGAGGGAGGAGGAGGAGAGAAGGAAAAGGAAAAGGAAAGAGAAGGGGGGAAGAGGAGGAGGAAGAGGAGGAGAAGGAAGAGGAAGACTGTGGTGATCTCTGAGCTTGTAGTTTTCCTGCAGATATTTCATGACCCAACTAGGGAACATTATCAGTGCTAGAAGGGAGTTGGGTTTGTGAAGAGGAGGAGTTTGGGGGGGGGGAAGGGAGGAGATGCAAAGCCACTTACCATCGCTGAAGAAAAAACAGGGCATTTCTGGATCTGGCTCAACACAGTCAAAGTAGCGCTTGTTCTTCTCCGTGGTGTAATTCTTCGTATGAGTGATGTCAAACGCCAATCTCTTGCCTGGGGGGCATCCAATATGAATCCTCAATGTATCAGTACCCTGGGGGAGTGGAGTGGGGGGGAAGAAAGTGGGTGAGCTATGAATTTATAAATTCCTTCTCTTTCACATTGAGGTATAACACACCCGTTTTTTAAAAATCCAATTTCCCGCCAAAAGAAATGGCAGCAAAAAATCAACCAAAATCAAAGGGGCCTTTTCCTCCTTTCAAAGCCAAGGCTCAAGGCTAGGAAAAGAGAGGAACATTTTTTAAAAAAAAAAACCCACAAAAAACATTCCTTCCCTATCACAATTTTGGTAACCGTGGGATCGTGTGATGTTGCGATAGTGGTAAATGCGAGGCCCAGTCATAAGTCGCTGGTTTTGGTACTTTTTAACTATGAACTGCCTCTAGACGAAGTCAAGAACTCTCTCTATGCAATTTTCCTTACAGCTGTGCATTTTTTAGGCATGACTTTTGAAAAGTCATAGCTACCTCTCTGTAGATGACATATCTATCCATGTACAGAACCCATTTTACAGATGTTCCTAGGTAGTGGGTAAAAATCTATATATATAAAAGCGAAATAACCACTCACACATCGTCACAAAATCTCCAGAACTATAAAGCCTATAAACTTGAAATTTGCTACGTATGTTCCTCTTGGCTTCTAGGTGCTCACTAAGAAAGGATTTTTTGAAATGACCATCAGAGCATTAGTATTTCCTATATTATTATTAACACGCTCTGAGGCTAAGGAGTTCTACTCCCCCTCCCCACCTGAAAAGAAATCTGTTCCAAATGCAAAACACAAGCAGAGGAGAGGAGTTTCAGTTTCAGACAGCTGAGGAATTCTGGGAGTTGAAGTCCACAAGTCTTAAAGTTACCAAGGTTGGAGACCCCTTATATAGGGTATCCTGCTTGAGCAGAGGGTTGGACTAGAAAACCTCCAAGGTCTCTTCCAAGTCTATTATATTATTACTGTCAAGTTCCTCTATGACAGGGGTGTCTAAACTTGCCCACTTCAAACTCCAAGCTTTGCTGACTGGGAGGGAATTCTGGGAATTGAAGTCCACAAGTCTTAAAAGTTGCCAAGTTTGGCAGAAACCTGCTCTAACAGAAGAAATTCCAACTGGGAAGTCTTGAAGCTCTAATACCGTTTTGTTTTGTTTTTTACTAATTTTATTCTGTATTTTACACCACGCGTGTTGTTATCAATTGCTTCAATGTTCAGTGGTTTAAAATAAATCAGTCATTCTGTGCTATCTCCCTGCTGTTTGGCTGTTGTGGAAGGAAAAGAAAATGGAAAGAAATGGCCTTCTTAAGGGGAATTAACATTACCTTCAACCCTGGAGACAGGTTTTTATGGTGATAACAGGACAGTTCCGAATTGACCACCTGAGAAAAATGGACAAAAGCTTCATGGGTCTCTCAGAGGAAGGAAGTAGAAAGAACGGTTTCACCAGCTAATAAGTAAGACAGAACAGGCACCTCTAAGAGCCGAGGTGGCGCAGTGGTTAGAGTGCAGTGCTGCAGGCTACTTCCGCTGACTACTAGCTGCAGTTTGGCAGTTCAAATCTCACCGGCTCAAGATTGACTCAGCCTTCCATCCTTCCAAGGTTGGTAAAATGTGGACCCAGATTGTTGGGGGCAAGAGGCTGACTTTGTAAACTGAGGGGTGTAAACCGAGGACTGTAAAAGCACTATGAAGCGGTATATACGTCTAAGGGCTATTGCTATGGCTCTTGGCCAGAGGTGAAAAGTAAACGACTAGAGATTTAAAGGGGCCAAGCTTGGTCCAGTGGTTGTGGCACTAGGTTAGAAGCTGGTGTGGTTGTGAGTTCTGGTTCCGCCTTAGGCATGAAAGCCAGCTGGGTGACTTTGGGCCAATCACCAGGAGACTGGGAGTTCTAGTCCCACTTTAGGCATGGAAGCCAGCTGGGTGACTTTGGGCCAATCACCAGGAGACTGGGAGTTCTAGTCCCACTTTAGGCATGGAAGCCAGCTGGGTGACTTTGGGCCAATCACCAGGAGACTGGGAGTTCTAGTCCCACTTTAGGCATGGAAGCCAGCTGGGTGACTTTGGGCCAATCACCAGGAGACTGGGAGTTCTAGTCCCACTTTAGGCATGGAAGCCAGCTGGGTGACTTTGGGCCAATCACCAGGAGACTGGGAGTTCTAGTCCCACTTTAGGCATGGAAGCCAGCTGGGTGACTTTGGGCCAATCACCAGGAGACTGGGAGTTCTAGTCCCACTTTAGGCATGGAAGCCAGCTGGGTGACTCTGCCCCAATCACTAGGAGACTATGAGTTCTAGAGCTGCCTTAGGCATGAACACCAGCTGGGTGACTTTGGCCCAGTCACTTTTCCTCATCCCAACCCACCTCCCAGGCTTGTTGCTATGGGGACAATGAGAGGAGGGAGGAGGACTAGGTATGTTCACCATCGTGACTTCCTTATAAAGCGACAAAGGTGAGGCCAATTAATCAATCAATCAACTAACCTATATAGAGATCTATGGATTTCCAGAGCTGCTGATGAAGCCTCACCTTTATGCCAGCTGAGCTTCTCAGAAGGTTCTTCCCACTGAGTTGCTGCCTTGGGTAATTCCCATTGTCTCTAATGGTTATCTGTTGGGGGTGGGGAGAAGTCAGGTACATGTGAAAGTTGCCCAAGAGCGCAGTTCGCATATATACAGAGGCTGATTTTTTCCCCACCATTCTTGAACCAGCCTGACTGGGGAATTCTGGGAGTTGATGTCCACAGGCTTTAAAGTTACTTAAATTTATTTATTTATATTTATATTTATATTTATATTTATATACATATACATATACATATACATATACATATACATATACATATACATATACATATATATATATATATGCTGCCCTATCTCCGAGGTCTCAGGGCGGCTCACAACAGTAAAATGCATGATTCCTGTTAAAACGATATAGAATTAAAACCCAGTTTAAAACAGTTTAAAATTCATTTTAAAAAAAAAAACCCATCAGTCCAGGCTACGGAACAACCAAGTCTTCAACTCACGGCGGAACGAGCGGAGGTCGGGGGCCATCCGGAGCTCCAACAGAAGTTGGTTCCAAAGGGTGGGTGCGCCCACAGAAAAATCTCTCCCTCTGGGAGTCGCCAGCCGACACTGTCTGGCCGACGGCACCCTGAGGAGGCCCTGTCTATGGGAACGCACCTATGGGCGATTGGGGATTGTCGCTGGCTGCAGGGGGTCAGACAGGTATCCCGGGCCTAGGCCATGAAGGGCTTTATAGGTGATAACCAGCACCTTGAACCTCACCTGAAGGGCAACCGGTAACCAATGCAAGCCGCGCAGGAGGGGTGTAACACGGGAGTGTCGGGACACTGCCATCACAACCCGCGCGGCCGCATTTTGCACCAGCTGAAGCCTTCGAGTGGTCTTCAAGGGCAGCCCTAGGTAGAGAGCGTTGCAGTAGTCAAGACGGGAGGTGACTAGCGCATGAGTAACAGTGCGTAGGGCATCTTGGTCCAAATAAAGCAGGCAGAGATAGAGACAGAGGCAGAGCCTGGGCCGTCCATCAGCCCTCAAATGGAGAGTCAACAGCCTCTAGACTGATGAGGAAGAGGAGGAACAGCTGGATCCAGTGCCTGACACACGGATGCGCAGAAGGCAGAGGAGAGGAGAACAGTGGAAATCTATGGGCCGGTCCTTGGGACGGAAGAGCCACCACTGCTAGTGAAGCCCCACCCTGGCTCCAGGGATAAAAGGCAGGGGGCGGAAATGAATAAATGTGGCAGACAATTATTCAACTCCCTGCTGGATGGACTTGTTAGCCTGCAGTGAGAGAGAAACTTTTTGCCAGGGCTGCTGGCGGTCCTAATAAAGGAATCCTTGATTTAACCTCAGAGGGTTTGTTGTGTTCGGGAAGCTGGGTCAGAACACAGTGCTAGTGCTAATCCTGCAAGGAAGAGGGGCATGTCCATACAATCAATTATTATCTGGGTCTTACCCGATAGAACACTGAGCCTCGGCTGATGAGTTCCTGCCTCTGCAGTTCTGCCTCGACATACTCGGGATGGGCCAGAGTAAGAGACACCCAGATGTAGTGGAGGGAATTTTCCTCGGCCGTTTCTCCCACTGTAGGCAAAAGAGCACAACGGCTGAGGATGGGTACACACACACACACACACACACACAGAGTTTGGGACACCGGCAAGCCGAGAGACCCCCTTCTCCCACTCAAATAAGCTGCCTTGGACGACACCAAAAGCAAAGGGAGATACAGAAATGGTCCCTTCTGTTCCAAAAACCATTCTGCCTCTAGACTGTGCAGGGAGGAGAAAGATACTGGCAATTCTCGCCTTACAACCATTCATTTTGTGACTGTTCACAGTCACAGTGAGCCGCAGTGGTTAGAGTGCAGTACTGCAGGCTACTTCTGTTAACTGCCGGCTGCCTGCAATTTGGCAGTTTGAATCTCACCAGGCTCAAGGTTGACTCAGCCTTCTGCCCTGCTGATGATGTGGGTAAAAGGCGGGGGGCAGGCCCAAAATTGTTGGGGGGGCAATATGCTGACTTTATAAACCGCTTCAAGAGAGCTGTAAAGCACTGTATATAAGCCTAAGTGCTATTGCTATTGCTACAACAGCACTGAAAAAAGGGACTTATGACGGGCGAAATCCAGCAGGTTCCGGAGAACCGGTAGCGGAAATTTTGAGTAGATCGGAGAACCGGCAAATACCACCTCTGGCTGGCCCCCGAGTGGGGTGGGAATGGAGATTTTGCAGTATTCTTCCCCTGCCACCCCCACCAAACCAGTAGTAAAAAAAAAAACTGAATTCCACCACTGACCTATGACCATTTTTCACACACCATTGCAGCATCCCCGTGGCCACGTGATTAAAATTCAGATGCTTGGCAACTGACTCATATTAATGACAGTTGCAGAGACACATTCACACACACACACACACACACACACACACAATTCCCCTACCCCAATTAACCAAGGTGAAGCTAACCAAGCTTTGCACAATCCATAAATTACAGATTAACAGAATTTTAAGGGACCTTGTAAGTCATCTAGTCCAACCCCCCACTCAAGCAGGAGACCCTACACCATTTCTGACAGAGGGCAGTCCAGTCTCTTCTTGCAAGCCTCCAATGATGAAGCTCCCACAACTTCCGAAGGCAACTTCTGTTCCACGGGTTGATCGCTCTCCCTGTCAGAAAATTTCTCCTTTATTTCCAAGTTGAATCTCTCCTTGATCAGTTTTCATCCATTATTCCTTGTCTGGCCTTCGGGTACTTTGGAAAATAGCTTGACCCCACCCCCCTCACTGTGGATCTAGCTCAGCAGTTAGTAGATCTAGCTAAGCAGCTAATAGATCTACTAAGCATAAATAAAAGTAATGAATTCAACATCACAGCAAGGTTAAAACACAGATTGCCTTCTTGGAACATACCAACTGTTATAGTAATTGTTTTTTAAATGTGACTTTTAATCTTGTTTTTAAGTCTTGTTAGCTGCCCAGAGTCATGAATTTGAGATGGGAATTCCTATAAACTGAATGAGGGAGGGACGGAGGGAGGGAGGGAAAGGAGGGAAGGGATGCTCCCCTAATCAGCCACCCTTCCTTACGGCTCTCTCTGGCTGTTCTGATGGTCAGGAACAGGTTAAAAGTGTAAGCTGTATTCTTGTCCAGATAGAGATTTCTGGGCAGATCGTTTTCTGGTATCAAGTTGTAAATTTTGGCATAGTTGGTCATGTCCACGAAGATACCTCCCAATGATTTCCAGTTGCTTGCCATGTAGTTAAAATATTCCTGGAGGGTGGGGAGGAAAAAAAAGGGGAGAGGGTGGGAGAGACCAAGTAAGTTCCAGAAGGGTTGATTTTATGCTTCACGTTTGACTTTCCGTTGCGTTCATGAAGCACATTTTATGGGAACGGGGCGAATTTAGCAGCCTCCCACGGCAACCCAACCCAACAACTGCACTTTTGTGGCCTGTTTGACTGTTTTTCCGTAATTTTGCCAGGCAGGCTTGGAAAGAGGATTAAGTAGTGCGAAGGCTGAGAAATGACACTTGGGGTTTTTTGGTTGTTTTCTCCTTACGGCCTCTTCTTTCTGGTTCTTCCACCAGCGCCAAGTGGGGTCATGGACGGGGTCTGCATAAGGCTGGGGAGACAAGATTACATGAAGAAATGAACCTCCAACTTATCACCTAAATATATATATATATTTATTTGTTTATTTGTTCAACTTGTATGCCGCCTTTCTCCGAAGACTCAAGGCGGCTTACAATGCATTTAAAAACCATATATAAAAACATTAAAAACAATTAAAACCCATTCACGCCATTCATGGCCGGATCTCGCCGGATCGCAAGAGCGAGATCAACGGCCCCAGGCCTGCCGGAAAAGCCAGGTCTTCACCGCTTTTCGGAAGGCCAATAGGGTGGGGATGGTCCTGACCGCAGGAGGTAACTGGTCCCAGAGAGCTGGGGCAGCCACGGAGAAGGCCCTCCCCCGCGGGCCCGCCAGCCGGCATTGTTTAGCTGATGGGACCCGGAGGAGACCGACTCTGTGGGATCTTACCGGTCGCTGGGAGCTATGGGGCAGAAGGCGGTCCCGAAGATAGCCTGGCCCTGAGCCATGTAGGGCTTTAAAGGTGATAACCAACACCTTGAATTGTGACCGGAGACCAATAGGGAGCCAGTGCAGCTCGCGGAGAATTGGTGTAATGTGGGTGTACCTAGGTGCACCCACGACGGCTCACGCGGCTGCGTTCTGGACCAACTGTAGTCTCCGAACACTCTTCAAGGGTAGCCCCATGTAGAGCGCGTTGCAACTTAGCGTATATTGTTGTTATGTAGAGGACATATATCAACAGGACTTTAGTTTTGAAGGGCCTTTCCCCCCCCCAATCCGTTTTTTAATTCTTCTTTTTGTTTCTTTCAATGCCACAATCGAATGCAGGTAGGCCTCGACTTACAACGGTTCATTCAGTGGCCGTCTGTGAAGTTACACCGGCCTTCAAAACAGTGACCCACGATCCTTTTTCACACTTAAAAGACTGTTTCAGCATCCCCATGGTCACGGGATCAAAATTCAGGCGCTTGGCAACAGATATTTATGACAGTTGCAGTCTCCCGGGGATCGTGTGATTTTCCCCCTTTCTGTGATCTTGTGACAAGCTAAGTCCACGGGGAAAGCCAGATTCACTGAACAATCGGCCAGATCCGCCGCCTGAAACGCGATGCACTTTTTAAATTTTTAAATTTATTTTTAATTTTATTTTTATTTATTTTTATATGCCGCCCTTCTCCGGAGACTCAGGGCGGCTTACAGTGCGTTAAGCAATAGCCTTCATACTTTTGTATATTTTATACAAAGTCAGCTTATTGCCCCCACAAACCGGGTCCTCAATTTACCCACCTTAGAAAGGATGGAAGGCTGAGTCGACCTTGAGCCTGGTGAGAATTGAACTTGCAGTAACTGCAGGCAGCTGGATGTTAAATGCTGCCTTAGTAGGAGGCATTAGCCTCCTACGCCACTCAGGCTCCTAAGTCTCCTCAGCCTCCGCACACCCCGTGTTTGGAATCGGGAACGGGATCGCGGGTCTGGATAGATTCCAAAGACAGCTTTCCTTCCTGATTCCAAAGGAAAGCATTTTCGGGTGGCAGACGTGCAATCCCCTTCCTGATTCCAAACATGGGGTGTGCAGAGGCTTAAAAAAAAAAAAAGTGCAACGCATCTCAGGTGGCGGATCTGGCCAGGAGGAAAGAGACGCACCCAAATGTTCACCCTTTTTTGGGGGGGGTAAAAAAGGTGCATCTTATACTCCGAAAAATACGGTACACAGACATTCCGCATCCCTATTTCTTTCCACCTGGTGGGTTGTCAGACTGGGACAGATCCCTGTTTCCGGAGACTTTTTCCTCGAAGGCTTTTAGAGGTTAGCTTGTAGGCCATGCCACGGGCTGCCCTTTCTGTACCCAGAAAAACCAGAACCGGTTCCTCACTCTGTGATACGATGAATGCAGCTGAAGCAACTGGTAGACCAGGCCCTGGTAGACGATGATCGACTTCTGGTAATGGAATCCGGATTTATCCATGATGTCTGGGGGCGTGGCCCAGTAATGTTCCACTCGGGTGAAGCGCTGCGGGAGAGGCAGATCCACCACACGCAACGTAGCGAAGGGGCAGCGATGGGTGAATCGGATGTAGTCTTTCCCGCTGGGAACAGAGAACAAATTGTCCCCCTGTTTTGCAGGCCTTCCTAACGGAATTGCTGCTGCAGGGAAGCACCGGGACTGGCAGGGAGGAGGGGGAGAGGGAGGAGGGATGAAGTGCACAGCTAGTCTAGAGTCACTGGGAAACCACAAAAGGACTAGAACTGAGCCCAACCTAAGGGAGTTCCTTGGGACCTTATCTATTTGTTCCCACGAGAAGGCTGCCGGTCTGGGGAATCCCTGTATTACAGGCAGCACATAACAGAGTAATTAGCTTGAACTCTGCACCCGAATGGGCTTGATGTTCACTTGTGGGTCTAATCCGGTCTTTATCATGAAAGGCTGGGTGACTTTAGGCCAATCACCAGGAGACAGTGAGTTCTAGTCCCTGCCTTAGCCATGAAAACCAGCTGGGTGACTTTAGGCCAATCACCAGGAGACAGTGAGTTCTAGTCCTGCCTTAGCCATGAAAACCAGCTGGGTGGCTTTAGGCCAATCACCAGGAGACAGTAAGTTCTAGTCCTGCCTTAGCCATGAAAAACAGCTGGGTGGCTTTAGGCCAATCACCAGGAGACAGTGAGTTCTAGTCCTGCCTTAGCCATGAAAACCAGCTGGGTGACTTTAGGCCAATCACCAGGAGACAGTGAGTTCTAGTCCTGCCTTAGCCATGAAAACCAGCTGGGTGACTTTAGGCCAATCACCAGGAGACAGTGAGTTCTAGTCCTGCCTTAGCCATGAAAGCCAGCTGGGTGGCTTTAGGCCAATCACCAGGAGACAGTGAGTTCTAGTCCTGCCTTAGCCATGAAAACCAGCTGGGTGGCTTTAGGCCAATCACCAGGAGACAGTGAGTTCTAGTCCTGCCTTAGCCATGAAAGCCAGCTGGGTGGCTTTAGGCCAATCACCAGGAGACAGTGAGTTCTAGTCCTGCCTTAGCCATGAAAACCAGCTGGGTGGCTTTAGGCCAATCACCAGGAGACAGTGAGTTCTAGTCCTGCCTTAGCCATGAAAACCAGCTGGGTGACTTTAGGCCAATCACCAGGAGACAGTGAGTTCTAGTCCTGCCTTAGCCATGAAAGCCAGCTGGGTGACTTTAGGCCAATCACCAGGAGACAGTGAGTTCTAGTCCTGCCTTAGCCATGAAAACCAGCTGGGTGACTTTAGGCCAATCACCAGGAGACAGTGAGTTCTAGTCCTGCCTTAGCCATGAAAGCCAGCTGGGTGGCTTTAGGCCAATCACCAGGAGACAGTGAGTTCTAGTCCTGCCTTAGCCATGAAAACCACCTGGATGGCTTTAGGCCAATCACCAGGAGACAGTGAGTTCTAGTCCTGCCTTAGCCATGAAAACCACCTGGATGGCTTTAGCCAATCACCAGGAGACAGTGAGTTCTAGTCCTGCCTTAGCCATGAAAGCCAGTTTGGTGACGTTGAGCCCATCCTGCTCTCTCTCAAGGCCCCCCAAGGTCAAAGAATCCCTATAAGTAGAATACTGGGCATCCTCATTTCCTCTCTAGGCCAGGCAGAAGGAACCAGCCCCACATCCTGAGTTGATCAAAGCCGCAATGCCTATTTACAAGAGCCTCGCCAGACTGACAGCGTTCGCTTGGGAACGGTCAGCTTCAGGAACTCTCGGAGAGGTCAGGCCTGCACCGCTTTCTAGCATGCAAGGATTTTAAACCGCTCCCTCTTTCACACCTCCCACCTCTAGCTGGAGATACCAGCCGCCACCCTAACACTGAAGGGATCCAATATGCAATGGGATGAAGAAGACCTGTTACCACACTCAACCCCATTCACCGACTTCCCTTCAATTTCCTCACATGCATTTTTTTTCTGAGGAAGGCCCTGATTTCTCGGTGGCGGGGGGGAAACGGGGTCCACTCTAGATGAAATCTAACACCCAACTATCCTTGTTGAGAAGGGCAAAGGGAGAGAGGAGACCCAGAATTGGCGAAAGAAAAGGGTAGCCGGGGCAGGATTGAAAGAAGTCTTTCTTCTCCCTTCCATTGGCAAGACGCCGCACCGTGGCGGACACTGGCAAAAGGCAGAGCCGTTGGTACTTCCACTCACTTGAACGTCATCTTTTTGTGAGGCGTGCTGATCAAGAGATCGTACGTCAGGACGGTATCTACAGGAAAATCCCTCTTCGTGAATTTTTCTTTGCCATCCTTATTTACTATATAAACCAGCTGCAAAAAAAAAAAAAAAAAAGGAAAAATTTGATGGACCTGGGATTTAACAAAAAACAGATGCAAAAGCGACGTCACGATCTTCACCTCACTTCTGCCATTACAAGGCTGTCCTTGGCTTACGAGCTTTTTTTTTCCACTTAGCGGCCGTTCTAAATCACAACAGGACTGCAGAAAGGGACTTAGGACTGGTCCTCACTGTTAGGACATGACTATTACCTAACTTGTTGGGTTGGCAATATATAAGACATCAATGTAGCTTTAAGACTGCTGTATTGCATCATACTGTGACCTGATTGGTTACCTCTGTAGCCAGTGTCCTTAAGAGGGAGCTAGAAACATGGTTTGTTCTTTTTGCTGTTCTTGCTCTCTGATATCTCTGTATGCTACTGTTTGCAAATCCAGAAGAACTGTTTATTGTGAATGACTACGACGACTGGTAAGAAGACTTTGTTATTGGATTATCCCTGGACTGTTTTGGCTATCTCCTGCTTTATATGTGTATGACCTGGACGATTTATTGGACTGTGCCTTACTATTTCCTGAAAGTAAACACAACTCAGTGTATCTGTGTGTTGATTGTGTTTATTCGTATCTACTCTCAATCGCTTTCATGTACACACCCTTGCTACTCAAGGGTTACTCTGCGAAGCTCTTAACACTCACACTTAAGGACCGTCACAGCATTCCCCCACGGTCATGTGATCAAAATTCGGGGGCTTGGCCGTCGCATGTATTTACGTCCCAGCCCAGGGTCCACGTGATCGCTGCTTGTGACTTTCCCAGCCGACTTGTGAGAAGCAAAAGTCAAGGGGGGGGGAACCAGATTCTCTCGCCAACCGTGTAGTTTATTGAACAACTCAGTGATCTGTTTAACAATCATGGCAAAAGGTGTCCAAAAATTGGGCTTGGCTCGCTTAACAACCGCCTTGCTGAGCAACAGAAATTGTTATCCCAATTCCGTTCATCGATCAAGGACTTCTTGTATTTCTCTCATGGCAGAGATTTTAAAAAAAAAGACTTTAGGGTGGGAATTTCTGATTTCCGTCCGACTTCAATTATTTATTTTTGTTCATTATGCTTTTGGTGGTTAAGAAGGCAGGTAGTTCCCCGACAGTTTCTTTAGTGGCCGTTCAAAGTTACGATGGCACTGAAAAAAACTGACTTGCAACGGTTTCTTTCAGAGTTATGATCTTTGCCGCATCACGTGATCAAAATTCAGATGTTTGGCAACCGACTCATATTTATGACGGTTGCAGCATCCTGGGGGGGAGGGGTGTGTGTCATGTGTCGCAATCTTCTGACAAGCCAAGTCAATGGGGAACCCAAATTCACTTAACAAGAGGGCTACTAACTTTTAACAACCGCAGTGACTCGCTTAACACCTGTGTCAAGAAAGGTCCTAAAATGGTGCAAAACTCGCTCAACAAATGTCTTGTTTCACAACAGAAATCTGGGGCGCCGTTGTGGTCGTAAGTCGAGGACTACCTGTGATAATAAACAGGTGTGGTAGCAAGCTGCCCGGTGTCACATCCGTGAGATGGGCAATAGAAGACAAACGAACAAATAAGCAAACCCCTCAGGATCCTCATTCGAATCCATAAGGACCTTGCCAGATCCCTTTGCTTCCATGAAACTCCCACGGACGTCCCATACAGCCCATCTCACCCACCTCTTGCAAGCCAGTCTCATCGTAGTATATGCTGATGATGGAATGTCTGCTCGATACGGCATATCTTGAGGACCCTCTCATCCTCTGGAGAGCATTCAACTTATACCAGGCATCCGAAGGGTAAGCCTTTTTAAATGCGATGCCGTTGTCACTCGACACCCAGAGCTGCGATGAGAAGGAGGGGAGGAGGGAAAGGGGTGGTTTGTTTCGTGCAAAACTACTTTGCATGCACATAGAGTAAGATAGGGTAGGATATAGAATAGAATAGAATAGAATAGAATAGAATAGAATAGAATAGAATAGAATAGAATAGAATAGAATAGAATAGAATAGAATAGAATAGAATAGAAAATAGAGAATAGAGAATAGAGAATAGGATATAGAAAATATAGAAAGAACAGAACAGAACAGAACAGAATAGGAAAATAGAATATAGAAAATAGAAAATAGAGAAAGAATAGAATAGAATAGAATAGAATAGAATAGAATAGAATAGAATAGAATAGAATAGAATAGAATATAGAAAATAGAGAATAGGATATAGAAAATATAGAAAGAACAGAACAGAACAGAATAGGAAAATAGAATATAGAAAATAGAAAATAGAAAATAGAGAAAGAATAGAATAGAATAGAATAGAATAGAATAGAATAGAGAAAGAATAGAACAGAACAGAATATAGAAAATAGAGAACAGAATATAGAAAATAGAGAACAGAATATAGAAAATATAGAACAGAACAGAACAACAGAGTAAGAAAGGACCATGGAGGTCTTCCAATCCAACCCCCTGCTTAGGCAGGAAACCCTATACCATTTCAGACAAATGGTTGTCCAAGCTTTTCAGTGCCGTTGTAACTTTGAACGGTCACTAAATGAACTGCTGTCAGTTGAGGTCTGAAGAGTAAAACAGAAAGTAGGGTAAATGGCCAGGGATGTGACCCACTTCCCACAGCCTTTCTATCCCCTGGATTCATGAGGAATATAAAGGCATTACCTCCTCCCGGTCTGTCATAACGGCAAAAGACCCACTAAAAGAGAGGACAAAATCCTTGATGGGAGAGTCACTCGGGAAATTGGAAAGGTAGATGTAATTTATCTTATCTTGGCTGGAAAGGAGAGCAAGAAAAAGAGAAAAATGCCGACATTAGGTTGAGTAGTGGGCCCGCTTCAGTTTGGAGAGCCAGTTTGGGGTAGCGGTTAAGGCCGAGAAATCAGGAGGCTGGGAGTTCTAGTTCCAGTTCTTGTCCGGCCTTAGAGATGCAAGTTGGCTGGGGGACTTTGGGTCAATCACGAGGAGTCGGTGAGTTCTAGTCCTGCCTTTGAGCCAAACACCGACTTTGAGCCAAACGCTCTCTCTCTCAGCCCAACCACCTCACAGGGGAAAATAGGAGGAAGGAATATTAGGTACCGTATTTTTCGGTGTATAAGGCGCACCGGAGTATAAGAGGCACTTATCTTTTTTGGTGAGGAAAAGAAGAAAAAGAAATCTCCCTCTGCCTCTGAGCAATTTTGCCTCATTGCAGCAAACAGCCTGCTTTACTTTCATTTTCGTTTTCAGCATAGCTTGATTAACACAAGGGGAAAAAAAAATCTGCTCCAGCAATTTACCTCTTTGCAGCAAGCAGCAGAGCCCTGCGTAAAACAGCTGAGAGCAAATCAGCTGAGAGTCGGGAGGCCGATCCAATCAACTTGTGCTAATTAGTCTGTGCTGAAGCTGAAAGGAGCTGGTTTTTTTCTTGCTGTTTGCTTGCAAGGAGGTAACTGCTGTGAGGCAGAGGCCAAAGGGTGGGAGCCAGTGGGTGGGCGGGGTTACATTCGGTGTATAAGACGCACCTAAATTTTCACACCCTTTTAGGGGGGAAAAAGGTGCATCTTATACTCCAAAACATACGGTATGTTTGCCGCTTTGAGTTATTTATAACGAAAATAATAAAGCTGGGATGAAGTCTAATGAATAAATAACTAAAATGTCTCGTCATGGTCCCAAAGGTGCTTTTTCAAAAGGCAACTGGCCTTTCCTTGTTTTTCCTGAAAGACGTTTGGCTTCTCGTCCAAGAAGCTTCTTCAGTTCCGACTGAATGGTGCAGGATGAAAGGATTTATATGTCTTGCAGTCCTCTGGTCCTTAGCCCTCTCTCTCTCTTGAGAGTCGCTGAGGCTGCTTGGAGGTTTCTCTATGCCTGAATTGTGCAAATGGGCGTGGAACCTTCTGGGAACTGCTGAAAGGACTGCGTTGAAAAGATTAAGCTATCTCGTCCTTATTATATTCCTTGTTTGTTTCTACTGGCTAAATTACCCCCTTTGGACTCTATGACAGTTCAGCCTAGGAAGGACAAGCTTACCTTTGCAAGATCACGTTCCCCCAAATATAAAAAGCTTTGTTGAAGGGGTTGTAAGCCAGGCCTCGTGCGATCAGGGGTTTATCTGTGTATTTCTCGGTGCCCAGGAGCATCACAAAACCTTTATCGGAGGCTGTTGAGAAGAAAAGAGAACTGTCAAAAGAAAAGTTTTCAGCGGCAGTTGCAGGAAGACTGCAGAAGAAGAAGAAGAAAAGAAGCAGAGCCATCTCTTCTTCCTCTCTTTGTTTTGTGTCTCCTTGTTTATCTGAGGACCATCCGCTGTCCTGAACCTCAAATCTCCCTGAAAGTCAGAGGACAGGACAGCTCCTGAACGACAGACTCAGCAGAAACTCGAGGCAGAAAGGAACAAGGACAAATTACGGATTGGAGAGAAGCCCAGGGTTGAACCCAGGGTGTCGGGGAAGTGGGGGGAGAGGAATGTCCTTAGTGCTGAGCTTGGTCTTTTTCATTTCATCACCCAACTAGGCAACAACATCAGGGTTAGAAGAGAGTGGAGTTGGAGTTGGAGTTGGAGTTGGAGTTGGAGGAGGAGGAGGAGGAGGAGGAGGAGGAGGAGGAGGAGGAGGAGGAATAGTAGTATTAGTAGTAGTACTGTGGGGTCCTTGATGCTCTCTGAGCTTGGTTGTTTTCTTGAAGACATTTCATCACCCAACTAAGTAACATCATCCGTGCTAGAAGAGAGTGTGGTTTGCTCTCTTTTTTACATGCGAATGGCTTGCCCTTTCAGTGTTGACGGTGGTAGTCTTCACGGTCCCTTGATTAGGTTGTTGTTTGTTGTGACAAAACTCAAAGACGAGCATGCTAACCAGCATGGCTGACAGGAATTCTGGGAGTTGAATCCATGCATCCTAAAGTTGCCAAAGTTGGGAAACCCTGCGTTAAGCAATGCCATCTCTCAGGAGTCAAAAAGACGCCTTTTCTGTTGCAACACCTTCCTTCTGGAGCAAAGTTTCCCTCAAGATCCAGAGGGCCTCTGTTGTGCTGTGGCTTAGAAAAGCAGTGAAGCCCTGGCTCTTCTCCCAGATCATTGCAAGAGAGAGGGAGACGCCCCTCCCTTCTTTTTCACCAGCTCTGTTGTTTGGCTTCCTTTCTTGTGAAAGATCTTTTTTCTCATCTTTCTCTTGTTTCTGTTGTCATTTCGTTGTTGTGAGCTGCCCAAAGTTATTGAGAGTTGGGTGGCATGACAGTTTGATAAATGAGTATTATGTTGTTTTGTCGCAGAGTCAGCCAGATGTTTAGACTGGATTGGGCATTCCTCTCCACCTCCCAAGGACCAGGTGATGTTGTGACCCGTACACGGCCTGTGCAGCTAGTAGCTGATTCCGACAGCGAGGAGGCTGGTGTGGTGCTGCGCCAGCAGCCTGTGCAGCTTGCACTCGAGTCGGACAATGAGGAGGCTGGAGAAAATGTGGTGCCAGAGGCGGGGATTCAGCCAGAACCTCCAGAAGCTCCTTTAAGTGAAGAGGATGAGGAGGAGCCTCTTCTCAATGCACGGGCGCGCAGAGCTGCCAAAAGGCAGGAGTGGCTCCTCAGGAGGAGGTCTCCTCAAGAGTAAGGCTTGGGGCTAATTGGCCACTCCCTTAGCCTATTTAAGGAGGAACACCGACTGAAGCAATTTGCAAGGAACAACTTCGTTCACATACCTTCGTGTCTTGTCTTGCTTATCTTATCAGCTTCCTGCAAATTGCTTTTGGGCATTCTGCCAACCACAGTAAGCTTTAAGTTATTATTCTTTGAATTCTTGGTGGCTGTTAATGCAGTTAATTAACAGCCGTTGTTGTAAAAGACTGGTTTATTTATTAAACTAAGGTTTGAACGGACTTTGTGTGTGCTGCGTTCTTTGGGATCCGTAGCTGGGGCCGAACAGATGACTTTCATAAACCGCAAAGAAAAGGTATGGTTCTTACCCATAGGTACACGGGTAGGGGCTCTGTAGATTAGTTCAAAATTCTCCTGCTCTGGAAACAGAAGAGAAAAGAGAACAAAGGTTAGTGTGTGAACACAAACAAATAGCTTAGATCAGGGGTATCAAACACAAGGCCCAGGGGCCGGATCCGGCCTGCGGGATGCTTAGATCTGTCCCACGGGGACGCCCTGGAAACAGCAAAGGAGTGGGCCGCAGTGCCCCTGCCAGAGAAAACAGAGCTCCTGAGGGATATGCGCGGCCCTCCCGAGTTCCATTTTCACTGGCAGAGGGTTGCAAGGAGGTCATCGCAGCCGAAAATGGAGCTCGGGAGCCCGTTTTTGCTGGCAGAGCCCTCGGGCCGCCACAGGCGCTCCCGACACGAGTGATGTCGAGCTGGCCAGGCCCACCTTGGCCACGCCCACTCCTGAGGTCAAACACAACCCTGATGCGGCCCTTGATAAAATCGAGTTTGTCACCCCTGGTTTAGAGTCACAGTTCAACAGTCAGCATGTAACGTTTTTCTCCTTAACCTAGGGAAGTGGCAAAGATAGCTTACAGTAGCATTGACCATGCTGATATCATCAGGTAAATCAGGGGTGAAATGCTCCCGGTTCGGACCGGATCGCCCGATCCGGTAGTGATGGAGGCGGGTGGTTCGGAGAACTGGTAGCAAAAATCCCTTCCCCCCCCCCCCCCATGCCCAGCTGAGCCACACAATCATCGGAGGCTTTTTTTTAACGTTTAAAAGCATTTTTTTCTACAACCTCTTGGGCCGAAAAAATGCTTTTTAAAGTAAAAAAAAAAAAAAAAAAGCCTCTGATGGTCGCGTGGCTCAGCTAGGATCGTCAAAGGCTTTTAAAAGAAAAAAAAACCTTTTTTTCTTTTAAATGCCTCGGATGATCCAAGCTGAGTTGCCGATCAGGCAACTCAGCTGGGATCGTCAGAACCTTATGAAAGCTCTGACGAAGAGGTTGTTAAAAAAATGCTTTTAAAAGTAAAAAAAGAAAAAATAGCCACGCCCACCCAGTCACATTACCACCACCCCACACCAAGCCACACCCACAGAACCGGTAGTAACAAATTTTAGATTTCACCACAGAGGTAAATCCTTCTGTTTCCAAGTGTCTTGAAATGGTTCCAACTCCTCCTGTATTGTACAGGTAGTCCCCGACTTACAACAGTTCTCTTAGTGCCCCTCTGAAGTTACAACGGCACTGAAAGAAGTGATTTATGACCATTTTTCACACTTACGTCTGTTACAGCATCCCCGTGGTCACGTGATCAAAAGTCAGGTGGTTCGTAATTATGACCGGTTGCCATGTCCTGGGGTCATGGGATCCCCTTTTGCAACCTTCTGATGAGCCAAATGAAGGGAGGCCAGATTCACTTAACCGGCCTGCTACTAAGTGAAGGTATGGTGGTTTACTTAACAAGCGTGGCAAGAGAGGTCGGCAAACGGGGCCAAGCTCAACTTCACAAATGTCTCGCTCAGCGGCAGCAATTTCGGCCTCCGTTGTGATCAACAAGTCCCGTGGAAAAGGACTTGAGCATTATTACTACGATCTGGAACGAGCTCCCCCCCGGAGATACGGAGGATCCTGGATCTGCGCACCTTCCGTCGCGCGCTCAAGACTTTCTTATTTCATCAAGCCGGCCTGGCCTAAATCTTCTCCCCTTTTTAAATGTAAATTTTAATTCGTTTTTAAATTATTGGGTATTTTAAATTTGTCTCAGCCAAATTATTTAATTCGTTTTTATTCTATTTTAAATTTTTGTATTTATGTGTTTTATTCTGTGGCTGTTCACCGCCCTGAGTCCTTCGGGAGTAGGGCGGTATAGAAATCTAATAAAATAAATAAATAAATAAATTACCTCTGTCGTATGAAACAACGTAAGTTCTATTTCCGGACTTGCGAAACACCAGGAAATGGAACATGTTTTCCTCTGTCAACAAGGCCCATGAAATTATGCAATTCGAACCTGGAGAAAAGAAAAGAGAGGTCCAAATTTGGAGAGACGCATGGAAGTGTGTTAGATGCGCCCATCCCGAAGTGCGGGTCACCTTTTCCCAAAATCTCCACAGCAGCTGAAGCCTACACAAACAACCCAGAGTGTCAACTCTGAAGCGAACCTGGCTGAAGCCATCTTGTGCTCATAGTTTTGCCACGAAGCCTGAGAGGGGGAAGGGAAGGGGAGGGGTGAAGTAGATAGCCTGGCTAACAGTCAAAACGAAACGTTTTCCTTTGGGAACCAAGGTCGTTGTAAGAGGTGGCTGGTGAAAGAGGAGTGGAGCCCGCCAGCTGTACTCATTGGACAATGTGACTGGTGACACCTGGGAGGGGGGATTTTTACTCTTTTAATTAGGTGAAAACCGCGGGAACTTTGAGAGTTGGTTTTCACTGGCTGTGCCAATAGGATGTATCTGTTGTGGCCCGCCAGCAGCCAGCAGAGCTGGCAGCAGATTCGGACAGTGAGGAGGTTGAGGAGGAACGTGGGCCAGTCCTGGAGCCTGCGGAAGGCTCGGACGAGGGCCATCTGGGAGTTACCGTATATTTTGGACGCAAAAAAAAAATTTTTTTTTCAGCCTCTCAAACGGAAGTTTCGGAGGCTTTTTTCAGCCTGTGAAACCCCCGTTTCAGAGGCTGGGCGTGGCTACATTCTGTGTATAAGATGCACCCAAATTTTCACCCTCTTTTAGGGGGGAAAAAGGTGCGTCTTATACTCCGGAAAATATGGTATGTGCTGCCTCCGGACCCTCCAGAATCTGACATCAGCGAGGCAGAAGAACAATGTGAGCCTGTTCCCAGCGTGCGCATGCGCAGAGCTGGCAGAAGGCAAGAACAATTAAGGAAAAAAAAGGGTGACTCGGGAGTAAGGCTTGGAGTTGATTGGCCCCTCTCAGAAGGCTTAAAAGAGGAGCAAATGGATGCGAGCCTTTGCAGGAAGCAATTTGTTCATTCATTTGTTCAATTTGTTCATTTGGTCGGTTCAAGCTCTGAGAAGTCTGTTTGACTCTGTGCTCCGTCTGGCCTTGCAAAACTAATCGGCAATTAGGTCTCTGGCAGCGTTTCAAGGGAGATAAAGGTGGGTTCCTTATCAACGTTACCCTGAAAGACTGTGTCAACGTGAGCAGACCTCTGTCGGAATCTGCACAGACTGTTTGTGAATCATTACGGGCTGTGAATGACCACAATTCACAGCCGTCTCAATAAAAGAGGTTTTTGGGGACTAAGATTGTGGTTTATGCTTTCTCAGGAAGCCTAGGTCAGAACAGTATCCAATAAAGATGTTCTTTGAGGAATCCACCTGTCTCGGAGTTCTCCTTTCAATGGGTGCGTTACTCGGAATGCTGACACAGCGGGGAAAAGGAAAGGCAACTTTTCAACATGTAAAAGGACTTACGGAAGATACGATAGCATAAGGTCCTCTTCCTTTCTTTTAGGGAGCCACTCGCCTTCACAATACCATCTAAAGAGAAAAAGAAAAAAAAACCAGAAGAAAAACAGTTCTTCCTTTCCTGGGCATGGTCTCACACCTGTCAAAATGCTATACAATTTGGGATGAACATCCTTCGAATGGTCTGGGAGTACGAACGGATTTCCAGAATAATTGCAGACTCCAGGAACCAGGAGCACTACCATGCTTCCCCGAAAATAAGACCCTGTCTTATATTTTTTTTGAACCCTGAAATAAGCACTCAAAATCCCGATTGGGCTTATTATCAGGGGATGTCTTATTTTGGGGGGGGAACAGGGTACTCGGGTGGCCCTGAGGACACAGACAAACCTCCAAGTGGACTCAATGATTCTCTAAAACTGTTTTAGAGGTTTGCCCCCAGCGCTGGCTGGGGGATTCTGGGAGTTGAAGTCCACCCATCTTCAAGCTACCAAGGTTGAGAAACACTGCTCTAAAAGGATGCAAATGACCAGCTCTCTGCAAGGAGTATAAATCCTTCAATTCCCCACCATCCAGTCAGAGCGGAAGAAGCTTCTTGGAGGAGAAGTGAAACGTCTTCAAAGAAAAAACAAGGAGAAGTCCAGTTGCCTCCTGAAAATGCACCTTTGGGACAACTGTGACCTGGATGACGGAGAATCTCTACTTCTAATACACTACCTTTGCAACTTATAAGGAAGAATTCTCCTTCCTGAGAACCGCCACCGAGGGCAATCACGTATTCGGTGTTATTGTAAGGGAAAAAGACAGGAACCAGCTTCTTCACGCAGACATTGTTCAAGATCCGTGTCCACAGAACTAAAGGGGCAACAGAGGGAGAAAGAGAAGATCCCTGGGGTTATTTTATTTATTTATTTATATTTAAATTTATATACCGCCCTTCTCCCGAAGGACTCAGGGCGGTGAACTGCCAAAAGTAAAAAAACATAGAGTACAAAATTTAAAAACAATTTAAAAATATATTAAACAATCTGGCCCAACAATTAAAATACCCCATTTAAAATTAAAATTAAAATCAAACAATTGGAGAGTTAGGCCAGCCCGGCTTGTTGAAATAAAAAGGTTTTGAGGGCCCGGCGGAAAGTACATAGATCTGGAATCGTCCGTATCTCCGGGGAGAGCTCGTTCCAGAGGGCAGGTGCTCCCACAGAGAAAGCTCTCCCCCTGGGGGCCGCCAGTCGACATTTTATAAGACCCTGTCAGAAAATTCTGCCCATAAACCCCCTTGCAACTTCCTGCTACCTTCTGAAAGGGAAGGAGAGGAGGGTCCGCAGTCAGGGGGATGGACTCAAGGGCAGTGGCCGATGAGTGAGTGCACCGTTGAAAGAGTTATCCCAAAGGCACAGGAGTTAGAATGCAGTAGTGCAGGCTGGCTCTGCCGACTGCCAGCAGTTCGATCCTGACTGGCTCACGGTTGAATCAGCCTTCCGTTTTCCCGAGGTCGGTAAAATGAGGACCCAGATTGTTGGGGGCAATAGGCCAACTCTGTAAACCGCTTAGAGGGCTGGAAAGCACTGTGAAGCGGTATATACCGTATTTTTCGGAGTATAAGATGCACTTCCCCCCCCAAAAGAGGGTGAAAATTTGGGTGCATCTTACACACCAAATGTAGCCCGCCCACCCGCCAGCCCCCACCCTTCATCCTCCGTGCGTCCTCTCAAACGGAGCTTTCGGAGGGTGAAAAAGCAAGGCACAGAGGCCAAAATGGCAACCCAGAACAGCTGCTGCCTTGCCAGACCGGTTCCGGGTTTCCCCTGCTGTACTCACTGGAGTGCCCTGCGACAATCAGCTGCGTTTTTAAAGCTGCGTATCTGCCCCAACGAGGCGCGTGCACGCTCACAACCAGCAAACCTGTTGCTAAAGTTCACCTCTGAGAACAGCTGATTGGAGGTATTCCAGGAGGCGGTCCACCCACCAATCAGCTGCTTGTGTTGAATCAGGCTAATGTGCTGAAGCCGACGAGGCTGTTTGCTGTTGCTGCATGTACGCTAGCCAGATACCGATGAATGCTGATAGGCAGAGGCAGAATTTTTTTTTTTTCTTATTTTCCTCCTCCCAAAATAAGGTGCGTCTTATACTCCGGAGCATCTTATACTCCGAAAAATACGGTAAGTTTAAGGCCTATTGCTCTTCCTTTTCCCCTTCCTTCCTTCCTTCCTTCCTTCTTCTCTCTCTCCCTTCCATGGTGCGCAGTGGTTAAAATGCACTATTAACAGGCTAACTTTGCCCACTGCCATGAGTTTGATCCTGATCAACTCAAGGTTGACTCAGCCTTCCATCCTTCCGAGGTGGGTCAAATGAGGACCCATAATGTTGGGGGGGGGGCAAGAGGCCGACTCTGTAAACCGCTTAGAGAGGGCTGGAAAGCACTGTGAAGCCCCATCACGGCTCTTGAACCCCCCGTGGTATTCCAGAGGACTTACTCAAATTATGGTAAATCACACACTTCCACGTGTAATTATAGATCATTCAGTCTCTGGGACCTTAATCATGCGTGGAGTAAAGCAGGGACACGAGGAATCCAGTGGGTTGAATGGACTCTCTGGCAGAAAGCTTTGATTTTTTTTTAACCAGATTATGGACCTTCCTGGCGAGGCCATGCTCCTGGAAGCATCGCAGCGGGATGGGGGGGTGGAGGGTGGGGGGGGCGCAGGAGCATTTTGGGAGGTTTATTTTTTTAGGCTCACGTACCAGATCCTTTGGTTTCTAGGTGTAAAAGTGGATAATGCCCTGTAAAGTAATAGACCAGTTGGTTTTGCCGGATGAAGAGAGTGCTTTCGGTAGCGATGGTGTCTACAATGGAGGAGGAGAATTTTCCCTGCGGGCAGGAAAGGGAGCCAATCCAGCAGCTGTCAATGGCCACCTGGAGCAGAGCAGGAGACAAAAGCCAAAGCTGTGTGAGCTGAGAGGAGACGGAGCATCTCTCTCGATGGTCCTCCCCAAGGGCAGTGGCCTTTCACCCTCTGGAGCAGGGGTCTCCAACCTTGGCAACTTTTAAGACTTGTGGACTTCAACTCCCAGATCTTTGCTGGCTGAGGAATTCTGGGAGTTGAAGTCCACAAGTCTTAAAGTGGCCAAGGTTGGAGACCCCTGCTCTGGAAAGTGTGGAAACACGGGATAGTCCTCAACTGACAATCACATCGGAGGCCAAAACCTCTGTGGCTAAGTGAGACATTGGTTCAGTGAGCTTTGCCCCATTTTATGGCCTTCCTTTGTCACAGTTGTTAAGTGGATCGCGGCAGCTGTTAAGTTAGTCACACAATTGTTCAGGGCATCTGAACTTCCCTGTGGACTTTGCTAGACAGGAAGTCGCATAAAGGGGATCACGTGATCCCTGGGACGCTGCAACCGTCATGAAGACGAGACAGTTGCCAGTTGTCTGAATTTTGATTTACAGGATGCTGCCATGGACGCAAGTGTGAAAAATGGTTATAAATCACTTTTTTCAGCGATAGCAATGGCCCTTAGACTTATAGACCGCTTCGCAGTGCTTTACAACCCCTCTCTAAGCGGTTTACAGACTCAGCATTATTGCCCCCAACAATTTGGGTCCTCATTTTACCCACCTCGGAAGGATGGAAGGCTGAGTCAACCTTGAGACGGTCAGGATTGAACTCCTGGCACTGGGCAGAGTTAGCCTGCAATGCTGCATTCTAACCACTGCCCACCACTGAAGGGAGGGAGGGAGGGAGAGCAATCGCCCTTAGAGTTATATACCGCTTCACAGAGCTTCCCAGCCCTCTCTACACAGTTTATAGAGTCACCATATTGGCCCCAACAATTTGGGTCCTCATTTTACCCACCCGGAAGGATGGAAGGCTGAGCCAACCTTGAGGCAGTTCGAATTGTTGAACTGCAGGCAGCCGGCAGGCAGCAGAATTGAGCCTGCAATACTGCATTCCAAACACCGCGCCACCATGGCGCTTAGTAATGTTATAACTCTGAATGGTCACTGAATGAACTGCTGTAAGTCGAGGACTACCGGTAGTTATTTATTTCTCCCTGTTTACCTCTATGATGTGAAATGACTCAAAGTTTGTATTTGAGAGGATGATGATCTTCTTCTCGGGGATCCCTCCCAGGATAAGCACAGGCGCGTGCCGGTAAGTGGCCCACAAGGGGCGTGACGGATCTTTCAGCCCAAAGATATGTTTCATGCTTTTCAACTGTACTCAACCAGAGAGGGAGATACAAGAGACGGTCAGCACTTGCCCTTCAACACAAAACGTTTGAGTCCACAATGTGAAGCCAAAGATATTTAGGGACTGGGTGACTGAAGCATATAAAGAACAATCACTGAAATTGGGTATGTCTAGTGATCTGTCCCCGTCTCCACACACACACAAACACAGCCAGCCGAGGGTTAAGAAAGCACTTGGCACGCACACAGGTCGTTATCTCAAACTTGGCAACAATATAAGCACCGTCTGCCAAGAGCTTTACTTCAACAGATAACATAAAATTACATACGCATTGCAAATAGTCCAGCAAAACAATATCCCTTCGGCAGCTTCAGACGTTGTTCAAGTGACTAGCCAAAGTTAGTTTTTGTTCGTCACAGAGTTTTACCAGCCACCACCCTCTCTTATATAGTCTGGGGTGTGGTCCAGTGACTCAGTTCTAATCCCTAGCACGCCTCCTTAACTGCTGCAACCGTTTATCACGCCTTCGTTGGCGTGCATCCAGGAACGACGGCTCTCCTTCCTCGCTCTCATCCGAGACACCTGGCTCCTGGCTAATCTCCTCTCCCTCGGCCGGCACCTGAGACAGTGCCAGATGGGAGGGGCCTGGAGAGGGAGGCCTGGCTGACTCCTCTCCCTCGTGTTCGGAGCCTTCTTCCTCCGATGAGATAGGCTCAGAGGGCGGGGCCACAACAGTCTAGTTTAGGGGTGTCGAACTCAAGGCCCGTCCGTGGGCAGAAATTCAGCAGGTTCTGACAGGTTCTAGAGAACCGATAGCAGAAAATTTGAGTAGTTCAGAGAACCGGTAAATACCATCTCTGGCTGGCCCCCGAGTGGGGAGGGAATGGGGATTTTGTAGTATCCTTCCCCTGGCATGGGGAGGAAATGGGAATTTTGCAATATCCTTCCCCCAGGAGTGGGGTGGAAATGGACATTTTGCAGTATCCTACCCCTGCCACACCCACCAAGCCACGCCCATAGAACCAGTAGTAAAAAAAATTGAATTTCACCACTGCCCATGGGCAGCATCCGGCCTACAGGATGCTTAGATTTGGCCCACGGGCCCGCCCTGGAAACAGCGAAGGACTGCCGTGGTGCCTCTGCCAGTAAAAACGGACCTTGGGAGGGCCATTTTCCCTGGCAGAGGGCTGCAGGAGGCCATTGTGGCTGGAAACGGAGCCTCAATCAGTGACATTGAGTTGGCCATGCCCACCCTGGCCACACCCACCCGGCCTCCCGAGGTCAAACACAACCCTGATGCGGCCCTCAATGAAATCAAGTTGGACACCCCTAGTCTATTAATCAAAAGGATTGAGGGTGACATGATAGCAGTCTTCCAATATTTGAGGGACTGCCACAAAGAAGAGGGGTTCTGGGTCTACCTATTCTCCAAAGCCCCTGAAGGCAGGACAAGAAGCAAAGGATGGAAACTAATCAAAGAGAGAAGCAACCTAGAACTAAGGAGAAATTCCCTGAGTGTGAGAACAATTAACCAGGGGAACAATTTGCCTCCAGAAGTTGTGAATGCTCCAACATTGGATTATTTAAGAAGAGATTGGATAGCTACTTGTCTGAAATGGTATTGGGCTTCCTGCCTGAGCAGGCAGTTGGAGTAGAAGACCTTTAAGGTCCCTTCCCACTCTGTTAAGTCACAGATTTTAGTTGGACCACAGCAATCTTCGCTGTAGGTGAAGTTTAGCTGCCCTTATTTACCAATGAGGTTAGTTTTGTATGTGTGAGGCGATGGGAAGATTTGGGTCAGTTTGGTTTGGAAGTGGTTGAGCTGGACTAGAAAACAGGAAATTGTGAGTTCAAGTCCTCTGGCCAACTGAATGTCCTTAAAGAGATGGCTGGATTCACAACGGAAAGGGACTGCTGGAGTGACCTCTGTCCAGGGGAACCAAAAGAGGCATTTGCCTTATTGAATGCAAGCAAGCTTTGCTATGGCCTGTTGGCTGCTGGCCCCTCCAGCAGCCGAATCAGAGGAGGAGGAGGAGGCGTGGGAGTCAGGATCAGCATCAAGGCAACCTGAGAGCTCCGAGGGAGAAGAGGGACTGGAGTTGTCAGAGAGAGGGACAGAGGCAGAGCCTGGGTCATCCGTCAGCCCTCAGATGGAGAGTCAACAGCCCCCAGGTCTGGAGGTGGCTGAGGAGGAACAGCTGGGGTCCAGTGCCTGACGCGTGGATGTTCAGAAGGCAGAGGAGAGGAGAGCAGTGGAAATCTATGAGCCGGTCCTTGGGACGGAAGAGCTACCGCTGCTGGCGAAGCCCCACCCTAGTTCTGCGGTTAAAGGCAGGGGGCAGAGATGAATAGATGTGGCAGACAATTATTCATCTTCTGGCCGGATGGACTTGTTAGCCTGTGGTGAGAGAGAAACTTTTTTTGCCGGGGCTGCCAGCACTCCTAATTAAAGGAATCTGAGTTCACTTCAGAAAGTTTGTTGTGTTTGGGGAGCTGAGTCAGAACAGGCTTATTAAGACCATGGACACTTCCCGAGCATTGTAATTTGCAAACCTCTCCCCCAGCCTGCAGCAAATTACCTTCTCCCCAATCCTGAATTTTTCGTCTTTCTCAGATGGCTCCATAAATCCATTTATGTTAATGTTCATCCTAGGAAGAAAGGGAAAGGAGAAGACGCGTGCATATGAATATTTCATTTACTACATTTGTGAATAACTTGTCTGCCAAAGCAAATTATACTGTGATATGATACTTGGGTCCAAGAGAGCCCCAACAAAGGGAAAAAGAAAAAAAAGTATGAAATGGGGGAGAGCAATTTAGAATAAAATTATCTGACAGTCACAGCAGGGGGCCTTCTGGAAAGGGAGAAATTAAAAGGTATGGTTCCAACAAAGTGGTTTGAGAGGCAGTTTGGTCTAGTGGTTCAAGGAAGTAGGCTAGAAAGCGAGAGGCCGTGAGTTCTATCTAGTCCTGCTTTAGCTATGAAAGTTGGCTTAGTGACTTTGGGCCGATCGCCAGGAGACGTGAGTTCTAGTCCCATCTTAGGCATGAAAGCTAGGTGATTTAGGGGCAATCAACAGAAGACCGTGAGTTCCAATCCTGTTCTGGCTTTAAATGCCAGCTGGGTGACCTTGAGCCAGTCCCTTTCTCTCAGTCCAACTCCCCTGACTGGTTGGTGGTGGTGGTGGTGGGTAAAATAGGAAGAGGAAGTTATGTTGGATATCTTCGCCACCTTGAGTTATTTGTAAAAGAATAATAAATGCAGGAAAAAAATAAATAAACGAAAGGTAGCTAATATTAATCCAGGGGTGAAATCCAGCAGGTTCTGGAGAACCGGTAGTGGAAATTTTGAGTAGTTCTGAGAACCGGCAAATACCACCTCTGGCTGGTCCCAGAGTGGGGAGGGAATGGGGATTTTGCAATATCCTTCCCCCAGGAGTGGGGAGGGAATGGCGATTTTGCAGTATCCTTCCCCCAGGAGTGGGAATGGAGATTTTGCAACATCTTTCCCTCGGAGTGGGGTGGGAATGGCGATTTTGCAGTATCCTTCCCCCAGGAGTGGGGTGGGAATGGCAATTTTGCAGTATCCTTCCCCCAGGAGTGGGGCGGGAATGGGGATTTTGCAGTACCCTTCCCCCAGGAGTGGGGAGGGAATGGGGATTTTGCAGTACCCTTCCCCCAGGAGTGGGGTGGGAATGGGGATTTTGCAGTACCCTTCCCACCAGGAGTGGGGTGGGAATGGGGATTTTGCAATATCCTTCCTCCAGGAGTGGGGAAGGAATGGGGCTTTTGCAATATCCTTTCCCTGCTACACCCACCAAGCCACACCACACCCAACCAAGCCACGCCCACGAAACCGGTAGTAAAAAAAAAATTGAATTCCACCTGTATGAATTCCCTTGCTGGCAGTGTTTAGCAAGAGGGGAAGGCTAGGAAGAGCCATGATCCCCAACCTCTTCTTACCTCCTGTTGAGCATAGGGAGCCCAAAGCCATTTGTCCTCACCGTAATGCGGTTCACAACACTGCCATTCAAGAAGGGCATAGGCGCAAACCAGACCATCGTGCAAATTTCCTCGCTCTCACAATCTGTAACTGGAGAGGCAGAGAAAAGCACATCACACGGCCTGAGCTGCTTGCCCAAAGATGAGCAGAAATCTACCCCACCTGACCAGACAGAGGCAGGATTTTTACACTATGAAAAAAAGACAAAACTTTTACAATATTAAAGAATGAATATAAGAGATTTGAAAAGGAACTCCAGAAAGATCCACATAAGGAAGATGTAAAAATGAAAATGGATATGCTAAAACATAAAATGGATTTACTGGAGAAGGAAGAGCTAGCCCAAAAAATAAGAAGTGCTAAACAGAATTATTTTGAAAATGCAAATAAACCTGGGAAGTGGCTAACATATAAATTGAAAAAAGAAAGGGAATCAAAAAAAAATAACGCAACTGATTGACTATTTTCATATGACTGTGTACGGGTAGTCCTTGATTTACAACACTTCGAAGTTACAATGGCACTGAAAAAAAATGTGAGTTATGACCGTTTTTCACAGTGACAACCTTTGCAGCGTCCCCGGGGGTCACGTGGTCATAATTCACATGAAGGCTCGTACCTACGACGGTCGCTGCCTCCCCGGGTCATGCGATCCCTTTTCTTGCAATCTTCTCAGAGCGAAGTCCATGGGGAAGCCGGGTTCACTTTCACAATGGTGTCGCTGCCTTTATCAACGGCAGTGACTCCCTTTCCCAACCGTGGGCGAGAAAGGACGTAAAACGAGGCAAACCAATGCTTCACTTAGTGACAGAGGCTTTGGGCTTAACCGTGGCTATAAGTTGAGGGCTACCTGTACATGGGCAGGCAGAGGTGGCATGCCAAGTGAAGTCACCCCTTGGCTTTAATTCTGGATGGTACAGGTAGTTCTTGAATTACAGCCATTCATTTAGGGACCATTCGAAGTTACAACAGCACTGGAAAATAAAAAGACTTCCAACCGGGCCTTGCACTTAGAATCAAGGCAGCATTTCCGCAGTCACGGGATCAAAATTCGGGTGCTTGGTACCCAGCCTGTATTGATGACAGTTTTGGCATCTTGGGGTTAGGTGATACCCATTTGTGACCAGCTCCCAGCTGCTTCTGATGAGCAAAGTCTAGGGGGAGGAAGCCTACGGATTGGCTTAACAGCTGCTTGATTCATTTAAGAACTGCAGCGAGACGCTTAACGACCATGGCGGGGAAAAAGGTCGTAAGATTGGGCACAACTTGCTGAATAACTGCCTTGCTTAGCAATGGAAATTCTGTTCCCAGGTTCTGGTCGTAAGTCGAAGACTACCTGTACACAAAGTAGAAGACTGGTTGAGGGGGTCCTTGGTGCTCTCTGAGCTGACTTGTTTTCTTGTGGACGTTTCATTACCCTAAATGGGTAACATCATCAGGACTAGAAGGGAATGAGATTTGCAGAAAGGAGGAGGAGGAGGGGGGGGGGGGCTGTAGGGTCCTTGGTGCTTTCTGAGCTTCTTTCCTTGCAGACATTTTATTGCCCTTACTAGGTTACATCATCTGTGCCGGAAGGAGTGCTGTTTGCTCTCAGTTTAGATTCTGTCAGTTTAGATTCTAATTCAGTTTGTGCCTAGGCGACTGGAACTGGAAAAGAAAGATTTAGGGTGCCAAAACTGGATCAAACATGTCTTTCTGTTTTTCAAAGGCCATAAGCAGCACCCAGCAGATGGGCAGGAAGGAAGACCACAGGTGGGCTTCACATAATTTAATAACAGGTTCGCCCAGAATCAAAAATGTGAGCGTGCACGCCATGCGCGCTGCGTCAAAAACACGGCGATTGTCTAGGACGGGATGGATAGCTTCGCTCGTGCACATGCCTTGCACACATGCGCGCTGCATCAAAAACACGGCGACTGTATCAGATGGGAAAGCGCTGGGGCGGGTGAGCAGGTCCAGCCGCTGGCCATAATTACCAGTTTCCCCGAATTGGTCCGAACCAGTTGAATCCCACCCCTGGTGAAGACCCTTTCCACTGCTCCAGCCTCACCGGCTTCTACAATGATGCCGAAATGTTCCTTGCCACAAACCCACCATTCATCCGGTATGGGGCAGCCTTCATTTCGATCTGTAAACGTTCTTGTTTCTGGCGCACGGGATTGACGGGTTCCCTGAAAGAGACCCTCACGATTGGATTCAGTCCGCTGTAATGGCCCACCCGGTTAGCTACCGGTACTTTCTGCAAAGAGGACAGAGAGTTTCTCACCAGCGGTCCTTTTCTTTTTTTTTAATTATTATCTATAAGGGCATCCAAAAGTAGCCCTCGCAGTGAGATAGGCAACTAACACATTGAACTAATAATAATAATTCTATTATTATTATTATTATTATTATTATTATTATTATTATTATTATTATTATTATTATTAATTTATTTATTTATTTGATTTGTATGCCGCCCTATCTCCATAGGACTCAGGGCGGCTCACAACAATTAAAAATCAAACCAGATAAAACATGTTAAAATAGACATTAAACACATATTAAACATATTAAAATAATCCAAACCCCATCAGTCCAGGCTGGGCAATTTGAACAGTCATGTTTTTAGTTCACGGCGGAAGGTGCGAAGGTCAGGGGCCAACCGGAGCCCCAGGGGGAGTTGATTCCAAAGGGTGGGAGCTCCCACAGAGAAAGCTCTACTTCTGGGGGTCGTCAGCTGACATTGTCTGGCCGACGGCACCCTGAGTAGTCCCTCCCTGTGAGAACGCACCGGGCGATGGGGAGCTGTTGTTGGTTGCAGATGGTCCGACAGATATCCTGGGCCTAAGCCATGAAGGGCTTTATAGGTAATCGCCAGCACCTTGAATCTCACCCGGAGGGTGACCGGCAACCAATGCAAATCGCGCAGGAGAGGTGTAACCCCGCCTAGCCTTCCCCACCCCCCCAACCAAAGTGTGTCACTTTTCTTAATAAATAACTAAAGCAAATAACAATTAACCGGTGGAATAGCTTGCCTTCGGAAGTTGTGGGTGCTTTGTCATTGGAGGTTTTTAGGAATAGACTGGACAGTCGCTCGTTTCAAATTGTATTGGACTCCTGCTTGAGCAGTGGGTTCGTCTAGAAGACCTCCAAGGTCCCTTCCAGCTCTATTCCGATTGACTAAAGCAGGGCCCTTCCAAACCTCATTCCTCTCCTCCTCTCGATCAAGGAACCCTTACCAATTACGCATGCATTTCATCCTTACCCGATAGAGGCAAAGTAGATATATTTTCAGGAAATATGGAAATCCATAGTAACGCTTTAAAAAAAAAAAACAGAAATTATTTTAGAAAATCTTTTCTTTTTATAGGACATCACACACAGTGCTTCTTTTTCTCCCATAAGGCAAGTGAGAGTTGTTATTATCTTCTACATCTCCAAACTTTGATGATTACTGCACTGGCTAAATTCAAAGCCAGATAGATAGATAGATAGATAGATAGATAGATAGATAGATAGATAGATAGGCAGGCAGGCAGGCAGGCAGGCAGGCAGGCAGGCAGGCAGGCAGATAGAAGATATATATATATATAGGTAGGTAAGTAGGTAGATAGAAGATATAGATAGAAGATAGCTATGATAGATATAAGATAGATAGATAGATAGACAGACAGACAGACAGAACATATAGCTAGGTAGGTAGGTAGAAGATAGATAGTAGATAGAAGATATAGATATAAGATAGACAGCAGATAGATTATAGATAGACAGACAGACAGACAATATATAGATATAGATATAGATATAGATATAGGTAGGTAGGTAGATAGAAGATAGAGAATAGATAGTAGATATATCGTGTTTCTCCGAAAATAAGACCCTTATATTTTTTTGAACCCCGAAATAAGCGCTTGGCCTCATTTTCAGGGAGGTCTTATTATTTTGGGGCGCGTGGAGCAAGATGGGGCTCCTCTTGCCATCTTACCTGATTTTCAGCTCTGCATTTAAATATTTTCAGGGAGGGCTTATTTTCGGAGGGGGAGGCTTATTTTAGCGCATGTGCTCAAAAGCTTGATTGGGCTTATTATCAGGGAAACAGGGTAGATAAAAGATAGATAGATAGAAGGTAGGTAGGTAGGTAGGTAGATTGATAGAAGATATAGATATAGGTAGGTAGGTAGATAGGTAGAAGATAGTAGATAGAAGAAAGATACGATAGAAAGATAGAAGATAGATAGAAGATAGATATAGATAGAAGATATAGGTAGGTAGGTAGAAGATACATAGTAGATAGATAAGATAGATAGATAGATAGATAGATAGATAGATAAAGATATAGATAGGTAGATAGTAGATAGAAGATATAGAAGGTAGATATATGACAGATTAGATAGACAGACAGACAGACAAATACCGTATTTTTTGGAGTATAAGACACACCGGAGTATAAGACGCACCTACCTTTTTTGGTGAGGAAAAGAAGAAAAAGAAATCTCCCTCTGCCTCTGAGCAATTTTGCCTCGTTGCAGCAAACAGCAAACAGCCTGCTTTATTTTCATTTTCGTTTTCAGCATAGCTTGATTAGCATAAGGAAAAAAAATCTGCTCCAGCAATTTACCTCCTTGCAGCAAGCAGCAGAGCCTTGCGCAAAACAGCTGAGAGCAAATCAGCTGAGAGTCGGGAGGCGGATCTTATCAACTTGTGCTAATTAGGCTGTGATTCAGCTGAAAGGAGCTGTTTCTTCTTGCTGCTTGCTACAAGGAGGTAACTGCTGGGAGGCAAAAGCCAAAGGGTGGGGGCCAGTGGGTGGGCGGGGCTATATTCGGTGTATAAGACGCACCTAAATTTTCACCCCCTTTTAGGGGGGGAAAGGTGCGTCTTATACTCTGAAAAATACGGTAGATAGATAAAATCAGACGCAAGTCACTTTCCAACCGCCTTGCTTAGCAATGGATATTCTGGTCCCAGCTGCAGTTATAAATTGAGGTCTACCCATATGTTATATAAAAGAAAATCCATTTGTCTATCTTGAGTCTTCCATACTTTACTCAGGATCCTTGCAGGATCTAGAAACAAAATGGTCTTTCTGCTCTCCTGTCTCTCATAGACTCAGAGGTAAGAGGTACTCACTGCATCTCTGTCATTGGGATCTACAGGTGAATCTTTGAGATCCTTAAAGCTCTCGACCACACTGCGAATTTCTTCCTGGTGGATGTAGCTGGTTATGTATCCTTCGACATTCTTAGTTTCACTGAGTGACGCAGCCCATTTGCATTGTCTCAGCGAGAGGCAAAGCTTCAATTGGAGGAGGAGACAAAGTAGGTTGGGCAGAAAAGATTTCCACATCTTGGGCACTTCCCTGCAAAAGAGAAGAGAAGATGAGATGGGGAGGGGAGGGGAGGAGAGAAGGAGAAGAGAGAGGAGGGAAGGGGAGGAGAAAAGGAAAAAGGAGGAGAGGAGAGGAGAGGAGAGGAGAGGAAAAGACAGAGGAGGGGAGGGGAGAGGAGAGGAGCGTCCCAGAAAATCCAGCGGACAGACCCTGCTCAAGCGTCACTTATGTGCTATGAAACCTAGCAGAAAGCGAGCAAACCTGGCGTTCCAACTTTCATTGCAATAATCCCTTTCAAAAATGTTACAATAAACAGGAAATTAAATTATCAACATTATGGCCAGCTTGCTCCACATTTGATTACACTGAGCATGGACTTCAAGAGTGATGCTGAGGGGATCGAGGGTAGAACCAGTTTGGTTTAGTGATTAAGGCACCAGGTCAGAAAGCGGGAGATGACGAGTTCAAGTCCTGCCTTAGGCAAGAAAGCCAGCTGGGTGACTTTGGGCCAGTCCCTCACTCTCAACACAATCCACTTCACAGGGTTACTGTTGTTGTGGAGAAATTGGAAGTATTGGGTATGTTCATCACGTTGAGCCATTTGTAAAAATAATAAGTGGTGTGTGTGTGTGTGTATGCCTGTGTGTATATGTAATGACATTGCATAACTGCAACTTTCAGTCATGTATATTTGTATATATGCCCTTCCTGATGCCTATGCAGTTTGCGGCAAAGAGAAAATATCTGCTGTGAACTCTGTGTAGGTGTCAGGAAGGGCATCCAGCCAATAAATGCTCAGCTCCATTCAGTCATTACAACTCCACCCTGTTAAAAGGGATTACAGGGTCGTAAAAAGAAAAAATATGTGTGCGTGTGTATGGATATGGATACGGATATATACCGTACGTATATGTTTAAACCTTCCATGAACCCTAATTCTTAAATAACACTGAAAATATAATCCATGGGAGCTTTTTCTGTTTTCTTTTCCGAGACTACAATCTGGAGATTCCTGGCAGTCCTTGCCATAATAGGTTTTTAAAAAGAGACTAGACAGCCATTTGTCCAGAATGGTTAGAGTCTCCTGTTTGAGCAGGGGGCTGGACTAGAAGACCTCCGAGATCCCTTCCAATTCTGTTATTCTATCTTCTGTCCACCGTCTCAACCCTTCCTACTCTTGTCTTTTTACAATCCCAGAGCAAGGAGATAACTGCTGTGGTCTGCCAGCAGCTTGCAGAGCTGGCAGCAGAGTCAGACAGCAATGAGACTGAGGAAGAACATGGGCCAGTCCTGGAGGCTGGGAAAGGCCCGGATGAGAGCTCTGCATTGGAGGCAGAGATGGGGCCAGGGCCATCTGGGAGTGATATGCAGACTTCGGAGCCTCCAGAGGCTGACAGCAGAGATGCAGAGGAACAGGAAGAGCCTGTTCCTAGCGCACGCATGAGAAGAGCTGCCAGAAGGCAAGAACAGCTGAAGCAAAAAGGACGACCCTGGAGTAAGGCCAGGAGATGATTGGCCACGCCCATAAGGCTTAAAAAACCAGCAACGGCTCTTGGGCTCTTTGTCGGAAAACAACGTTGATATATTTGTTTCTTGTCTTGCTGCATTTATTTCTTGTTGGCGTCTTCTGCTTCTGAACCTTTGCCAAGAAAAGTCAGGTTGCCACAGTACACCAAGGTTGGTAATAAGGCTGAAGAATTGTGTTATGAAGAATTTGTTTTGAATTAGTTTGAACTACGCTTAGAATGAGTTAATTCTCAGCTGTTCTAATAAAGTCTGTTTGTTCGAACTGATTGTGTCTGATAATACCTACTTGGGCCTGGGTCACAATAATAACTTACAATGAGCACTGTTGTTCTGAATCAGCCTCCTATGGGACTCCTGACTTAAATTGGGGAGGGGCAACTTTTATCATCACTTTTTTTAATTTGTATATTTTGATTCACACTTCCAGCATCTGGATTCTGGATGAACATCTATGACCACTGCTACTCTATACAATTACACTTTTTCCCCATTTGGTTTGGTTTTGCCTACGAACTGCTTTGAGAAAGTTTATACTGAAGACATACAGGTAGTCCTCAAGTTACGACAGTTCAATTAGCGGCCCTTCGAAGTTACAATGGCAGTGAAAAAAAATGGATCTTTGACCCTTTGTCAACCGCTTACAACCGCTGCAACATCCCCCAATCAAAATTCAGGGGGTTTGGCAACTGGCTCGTATTTATGACGGTCGCAGTGTTCCGGGCTTACGCGATCCTCCTTTTGCGACCTTCCGACCAGCGAAATCGACAGGGAATCCACTTAACAACCACGGTCACTAGCTTACAAGCTGCAGTGATTGACTGAACAGCTTGACGGCATCTGACGCTTGAATGAAAGCATTGAAGGCTGGGCAACTGGTTCACACTTATGACCATTGCTGTGTGATCCCCTTTCGTGACTTTCCGACAAGCAGAGTCAATGGGGAAGCCAGGTTCACTTAACCACTAGGTTACTAGCTTATCCACTGCAGTGATTCCTTTTAACAACCATGGCAAGAAAGCAGTGGTGAAATCCAAATTTTTTTACTATCGGTTCTGTGGGCTTGGCTTGGTGGGCATGGCAGGGGAAGGATGCTGCAAAATCTCCATTCCCACCCCACTCCTGGGGGAAGGATATTGCAAAATCTCCATTCCCACCCCACTCTGGGGCCAGCCAGAGGTGGTATTTGCTGATTCTCCGAACTGCTCAAAATTTCCGCTACCGGTTCTCCAGAACCTGTCAGAACCTGCTGGATTTCACCCCTGCAAGAAAGGTCGTAAACTAGGGCAAAACTGACTTAAGAGACATCTCACTTTTAACAACAGAAACTTGGGGGTGGGGGGGGGTGATCATTGTGGTCGTAAGTCGAGGACTACCCATACTTAATACTGCCACAGTGGAGTTTCCACATCCAGGCTGCAAAACCACTAGAGGGCGTAAAAAGGGAAAAAAATTCTCTCTACTGCCATCCAGCGGTCCCCCAACGCTGGTGCAGCTCCGAAACCGCAGGAGCTGGCGCTCTGACGTCACCGCGGGGGGGGTCCAGTGACGTCACCAACCGTCCCCGACATCACTCGCCCGCTGAAATAAAAAGAGACCCCGCTCATTCGACGTCGTATCGCGCCCAAAGTCACCTCCGCTGCCACGCTTTTAGGGAAGGGTGGGGGGCTGGCCCGCCTTCCCCGCCCCCCACAAACAAGCACCGGACCGAAACGCCGTTTCTAACCCGCCTCCTCAAAACTCCCCTCAACCGGCGCGAGCGGTTGCAATAACGCTCGGCGCATGCGCCAAACACCTCCCCACAAACATTCCTCCAGCCAATCGGGGGGTGGGGTGGGAAAGCGCGAGCCGGTTGCCCAGGGAGACGCTCGATTGACGGCCGTGGCCGTCAAGCGCGGTGTCGTGTGGAGTTTTCGCGACGGTCCCGCCGGGTGCAGATTCATGGCTTCGGCGGTGGCCATGATGGCGGCGGCCGGCGGGCCGGTGCTGAACGGGGCGGACGCGGCGGGTCTGAAGGAAGCGGCGGGCATGTACGAGCAGCTGCGGGCCGAGTGGAACCGCAAGAACCTCAGCTTGAGCAAATGCGGCGACTTGCTGGGCCGCCTGAAGGTGAAAAAAGGGGAAACGGGGGGGGGGGGACTAGAAACCGCCGGGGGGGGGGGGGGGGAGGTGGGAAGGGGGTTGAAGCCCCCGCCCGGGGGGGGGGGACTAGAAACGGACAAAACGAGGGAAAGAATAGAACTCGCTCCTGGAGGGAAAAAAAAAAAGCTGAGCGGGGGAGAAGACGAGAAATCCGGGGATATGGAAGCTTTGGAAGAAGGCGGCCCCCTTTTCCTCCTTCCCCGGTGGCTGTAAGGCAGGGTTTCTCAACCTTGGAAGCTTGAAGATGGGTGGACTTCAACTCCCAGAATCCCCCAGCCAGCATAGCTGGCTGGGGGATTCTGGGAGTTGAAGTCCACCCATCTTCAAGCTACTAAGGTTGAGAAACACTGCTGTAGGGGATAGATAGGCTGCATCTACAGGGAGTCCTCGACATACAGCCGCCACGGAGCCCAGCATTTCTGTGGCTAAGGGTCATTTAATGTATTAAATTAGCTTTGCCCCGCTTTACGACCTTCCCACCGTCATTAAGTGAAGCACGGACGATGTTGAGTTGGAAAGCTGGTGGTTAAGGGAATCCGGCTTTCCCCCCCCCCTCCTCTTCCCCCATGGACTTTGCTGGTCAGAAGGTCGCAAAAGGGAGACTCAAGTGACCCTCGGGACAGTGGAACGACCGTCATAAAGGCGAATTAATTAATTAATTAATTAATTAATTAATTAATTTATTATATTTCTATACTGCCTTTCTCCCGTAGGACTCAAGGCGGTGTACAGTCAAGAAAAATATAGATACACAAACATCACAAAATTGCTAATTAAAATTATTATTGTAACATAGTTTGGCCCAATTAAATAGAAAATAGTTAAAATTAAATAGTTGCCCAACCTCTCGATTTGGGAAGGGTGGGGGGAGGGGGGTGGGCACTGCAACGGTTCTTAAGTGTGAAAAACGGTCCTAAGTCACTTTTATTTCGGTCCCGGTCGTAACTTTGAATGGTCGCTAAATGAACTTCTCGTCTTCAATTGAACCGGGTTGTTCAGGGAATCTGCCTTTCCCACACACCCCTCTCCCTCCTCCTCCCCTGAGACTTTGCTGGTCAGAAGGTCGCAAGAGGGGATCACGTGATCCCAGGACGCTACGACCGTCATAGGGAGAAGGGCGGTATACAAATTCAAAATAAAATAAAATAAAAAATAAATAAATACGAGTCCGTTGCCCAGCATCCTGATTTGGATCGCGTGACTGTGGGTGGGGATGCTGCAACGGTCGTAAGGGTGAAAAACAGCCCTAAGTCCTTTTTTGCAGTGCTGTTGTAAACTTCGAATGGTCACTAAGTGAACTGTTGTAAGTTGAGGACTACAGTAGTGGCCAAAATGGTGGAAACCTCAGGGGGCCTCCACCGAAAAGGAAAAGCCATTTACAGAGCCCTAAAAACACAGTTCCGGGAAGGCTACCCCAAAGAGTGAATAACCCTTTTATTATTAAACTGAATTTTCTTTTGGATCTTGGAATTCATACCGGAAAGCGGTTCAGAATCCCTGAAAATGAAGCAGCGTGTTAGAGCCTTGGTAGTACAGTGGTCTAAAGCACCCTGTTATTAAGACCAGCTGCCTGCAATTACTGCAGGTTCGAATCTCGCCAAGGCTCAAGGTTGACTCAGCCTTCCATCCTTTCTAAGGTAGGTGAAATGAGGACCCAGTTTGTGGGGGCAATAAGCTCACTTTGTATAAATATACAAAAGTATGAAGGCTATTGCTTAGCGCATTGTAAGCCGCCCTGAGTCTCCGGAGAAGGGCGGCATATAAATCAAATTTAAAAAAAAAAAAGACGTAGTAATACACAAACAAACATGAATGACGTTCCATGATGGGGAAGGAGGAGGCGAATGAATCAGCTGGGTGTTTTTTCCTGTATTAATGTCTCTGTTGAGTCACATGCTCCAAAGAGAGAGGACTGCTCCCTCCAGCCCAATGTTTCATGCCTGGTTGCTAAAGCAGTTTCACAGACCCACCTTTTCCATCATTTTATCGACAAGGGTAGATTGCCCCTGAAATTAGAGGCTCGGGTTTCTGACAGCTGTCAGTGGTTCTGCTTTCCTTCCCTTTATTTATTTGTTTATTTATTTATTTATTTATTTGTTTAAATTTCTATACCGCCCTTCTCCAATATAGGACTCAGGGCGGTGAACAGCCAAAATAAAACAAGACATACATACAAAACATACAAAATCTAAAAACTGATTAAAATAATTAAATCTTTTGGCCGTAATTAAAACAATTTCAATTTAAAATCAGTTTAAAATTTGACTCAAGCCAGCCCAGCTAGTTGAAATAAATGGGTTTTCAGGGCCCGACGAAAAATCCGGAGGTCTGTTATTATCCGTAACTGGGGGGAGGTTGTTCCAGAGGGTGGGCGCCACCACAGAGAAGGCTCTCCCCCTGGGGGTCGCCAGCCGACATTGTCTGGCGGACGGCACCCTGAGGAGGCCCACTCTGTGTGAGCGCACTGGCCGGTGGGAGGCTATTGGTGGCAGAAGGCGGTCTGTTGGTTGGTACAGGTAGTCCTCGACTTACAACCGTTCATTTAGTGACCAAAGTTACAACGGCACCGAAAAAAAGTGACCTGTGGCCATTTTTCATAAGACTTTTGTAGCCTCCCCATAATCAGGTGATCGAAATTCGCGTGCTTAGCAACGGGTTCATATTTATGACCGTCGCTGTGTCCCAAGGTCACGGGACCACCCTTTTAGTGGGCAAGCCAGGTTCATTTAACATGGCTTTGTAGACTTCAACTCCCGGAATTCCTGAGCCAGCATGCATTAGGAATGCCTTAGGAATGTCATCATGGCTGGTCCAGGAATCCTGGGAGTTGAAGTCCACAAGTCCTAAAAGGCCCACAGTTCCTCACCTCTGCGGCAGGGGTATCGATGTATGGCATTGATGGGGTTATAGATTGTAATGCACCGTGGCTTGTCTGTCATTTCTCCTCCTTTCCTCTTGCCTTTCAGTTGGCTCTGCTTGAACTGAACTTCCTGCCCACCACCGGCACGAAATTGACTAAACAGCAGCTTATTTTGGCAAGTGAGTACTATTCAAGCAGGCATGTAGCTGGACGGGATACCTTCTCATTTTGGAAGAGGCCTCAGAAGCAATTCTATAGTTCCCCCTGCCCTAGAGCCTGAATTCTGAACCACCAAGCTGAGCAAAAAACAAATTTGCCGTTCCAAGCCAGAAAATCTTTTCCCTTCACTTTCTTTCCTCCTCCTCCTCCTCCTCCTTCCCTTTCTCCTCCTTGTCCTCCTCCTTCTTCCCCTTCCCCCTGACTGGAGGGTTGCGAGGTTTACCCACTGAAGGACCAATTGTGTTGGGCAGGGTGGATTAAAAATCGATGTTTTTTTAAAAAAAAAAAATAACAGATTTTTTAAAAAAATTAAATTGGAGTTTTTTAAATCAAATTTATTTTAATAAAATGCTTTTGGAGTAAAGATCTATCTAAAGATAGTTTTCTGTTTAAGCGGCATTCATAATTTAGTTTAAACCGCATGAAATGGAGCTTCGTTATGTAGCATGAGGCATTCCGCAATATTGGGGCTATCAGTGAGTCAACGGCGCGTCAGAGGAGGAGCCGCTGCTGGACAGAGATGACGGTTGCTCTTTAAAAATGATTTAAAATTAAATCGAGTTGATTTAAATCAAGCCTTTGTACTAGCAATTTAAATCGGGATTTAAATCAACTTTGATTTTAAATCAAATCCACCCTGGTGTTTGGGCCTGTGCTTTTGTGCTGTCCTTGGCGGTTGTGTCGTGTTTTTTTTTTTGTTCATGCCTTGCACATTCTTTTCTTCTCTTTTCAAGGAGACATTTTAGAAATCGGAGCCCAGTGGAGCATCTTGAAGAAAGACATCCCGTCTTTTGAAAGATATATGGCCCAGCTCAAATGCTACTACTTTGATTACAAGTAAATATGTTCACCTTTGGGGAGTTTTGAGGGAATGTCTTCACTCGCGCTATCCCAGAAGCCCATGGAACGCTCTAGAAACTGTCAAAAAAAGAATCCATCAAGGGTTCCAGAGGGAGTAGAGGGGGTGAAGCTGCTGTATTAGGAACTGGGGGCTCTAGCCTTGCCTTGGGCTTAAAAGCCAGCTGAGGGACTTTGGGCCAGTCCCTGTCTGTCAGCCCATCTCCCTGGGGGTTGCTGTGGTAAAGGAAATAGCATTAGGTACACCACTTTGTAGCAGCATAAGGGTAAAGGTTCCCCTTGCACATATGTGCTAGTCGTTCCCAACTCTAGAGGGACGGTGCTCATCTCCGTTTCAAAGCCGAAGAGCCAGCACTGTCCAAAGACGTCTCCGTGCTCATGTGGCCGGCATGACTCAACGCCAAAGGCGCACGGAATGCTGCTACCTTCCCACCAAAGGGGGTCCCTATTTTTCTACTTGCATTTTTTACCTGCTTTTTCGAACTGCTAGGTTGGCAGAAGCTGGGACAAGTCACGGGAGCTCACCCTGTTATGCGGCACTAGGGATTTGAACCGCTGAACTGCCGACTTTTCGATCGACAAGCTCAGCGTCTTAGCCACTGAGCCACTGCGTCCCTTCAAAAAAGCAGCATAGAAATCTAACCTTAAGCAAGATTGGATGCCATTCTAGAACAGAGAAATTGATAGTCAGGGGAGAAGCTCAAACTTTGTGAAATTGGAAGTAGTTAGGCTGCCAAGCAGAATGAGATTTTGGGGGTATATTTTGCTCCTTCTGATTTTTCCACGTTATCCCTAGCAAAATGATCCTGAGTACTCATGCAGGCCTTCACTTCGGGGTGGGGATAGGGGTGTTCAACAGCCCGCTTAAACAATAGTTAGCCAACCTTTGTGTGTTCTATGGCTACAGGCGCTTGGGTGAATTTTGTAAATCAGAGCACAGTAAGCCTTGGCAACTTTTATAAGGGGTGGACTTCAACTCCCAGACTCCCTCAGCCACCATGCTAGAGAGCTTTAAGCAAAGTGGACTTCAACTCCCAGAATCCCTCAGCCACCATGGTAGAGAGCTTTAAAACGGGTGGACTTCAACTCCCAGAATCCCTCAGCCACCATGCTAGAGAGCTTTAACAGAGGTGTTGAAGTCCACAAATCTTGAAAGTGCCCACGTTTGAGAAACACTGTTCTACGCAGAGACAAACATGATGCTCCCAACTCTTCCAGACAACCCAAGAGCCCTCAAGCTGCAGAGGATTTTGACTGCTGGATGGGAGGGAGATGCCCCCAGTTGGGTTGGGAGTAGTGCATTTATAGGGCTAATTTACTTACCTTTGCCACTCCCCTGTTGACCTGTTCCCCATTTCTCCTTGCTCCTTACCTCAGAGACGAATTGCCCGAATCAGCCTACAAGCACCAGCTGCTGGGCTTGAACCTCCTTTTCCTGCTGTCCCAAAACCGTGTTGCCGAGTTTCACACCGAGCTGGAACGCCTGCCGGCCAAGGACATCCAGACCAACGTCTACATCAAGCACCCTGTCTCTCTCGAGCAGGTAACGGCTCCCTCCCACCCCATCTTTTTCATTGTGGATGATTTACAATTCGTCTCACAGTCAGCCAGATGTTTAGGCTAGATTTGGCATTTTTCTATCCACCTATCGAATCCTTCCCCAAGGACCTGGGACAGGCAGAGGTTTAGATGCTTGATGTGGTCAGAGGGTTGAATTTCTGTAATATTCATCTCACCGTATTTTGATGGGAGAGACACTCTTTGTCTGATGCCTCTGGCCCTGTTGCTTTTCCAAAACCCAGGGTTTTCTCAGCAGAGAAGAGCAACAAAGATAATTAGGGGCCTGGAGACAGAAACGTGTGAAGAACGGTTGAAGGAATTGGGTCTAGAGAGAAATTAGTCCCTACAGAATTCATCTAGAGAAAAGACTAGACTAGGGGTGACATGATAGCAGTGTCCCAATATTTGAGGGGCTGCCCCAAAGAAGAGGGAGTCAAGCTATTCTCCAAAGCACCTGAAGGCAGGACAAGAAGCAATGGGTGGAAACGAAGCAAGGAGAGAAGCAACCTAGAATAAAGGAGAAATTTCCTGAGAGTGAGAACAATCAACCAGTGGAACAACTTGCCTCCAGAAGTTGTGAATGTTCCAACACTGGAAGTTTTTAAGAAGATGTTGGATAACCATTTGTCTGAAATGGTGGAGGGTCTCCTGCTTGAGCAAAGGGGTGGACTAGAAGACCTCCAAGGTCCTTTCCGACTACATAATGGATTTTTTAACAGATGTAAGTTGTACAGAGCCCCCTGTATGTGACTTGGGTGGCTCCACAAAATCGATTTAATCAATAAAATAACAACAAAAATCTCCAAAGCAGGTAGATGGAAAACCCAGCCCTATACATATTCGGGACATGTCCCCTCTCCGCCAGAATGGGACAACTTGGTGGGGCCAACTCAACCTCAGAACAACTCGCTGTGGGACAATTCCACCATTCAAATGAAGTATTTCAAATCTTCCCCCCCCCCCCCAAATGATTTCAACTGCTGTCGTTGCGTTTCATTTTCGCACCTTTTCTTGGAACGATTCTCTTCCACCATTTCTTCAATATTCGTGTAACTCTTGTCCCGCGGCGAGTTGGCGTAGATTCCCCCCCTCTCTTCACCCCGTGTTATCGCTCCACTTGTGAGACGGATCTCAAGGATGCTTGTTGTTGTCCTTATTGTTGTGATGATTGCGTAACCTGTTCTCCTCTCCAGTACCTGATGGAAGGTAGTTACAACAAAGTCTTTCTGGCCAAAGGCAACATCCCAGCCGAGAGTTACGCCTTTTTCATTGACATCTTGCTGGACACTGTCAGGTGCGTTTTGCTCCTTTCCGTTTGAGGACACGTTGGGGGTGGAATTTTATTTATTTATTTATTATTAATTTAATTTGTATACTGCCCTTCTCCCAGAAGGGACTCAGGGTGGTGAACAGCCAAAATTAAAATTAAAATTCAAGGCTGAATCGTGCCTATCTCCAAAACAAGAGGGGGCGCTCTTACTACAGGTAGTCCTTGAGTCTATGGAGAGTCTCAAGTCATCCAGGTCATGGTTGCCCCAGATGCGTCTTTTTTTCAAGAGGCAACTGGACTTTCTGTGTTTTTTTGTTTTTCTTTGAGGACATTTCGCTTCTCATCCAAGAAGCTTCTTCCGCTCTGATCGAATGGTGAGGAAGGGAAGGATTTACACGCCTTGCAGACAGCTGGTCATTTGCATCCTTTTAGAGCAGTGTTTCTCAACCTTGGCCGCTGGACGATGGGTGGACTTCAACTCCCAGAATTCCCCAGCCAGCAGAGCACTTGGAGGTTTACCTGTGTCCTCAGGGTCACCTGAGTTAGTGCTCCTGGTTCCGGAAAGTCTGCAATTTCTTTCCTCTGGAAATCCTTGATTTCCAGAGGAAATCAAGCCTTGGTGGTGCAGCGGACTAAGTGCTGTTATGTAGCACTTAGCTGCCTGCAATTACTGCAAGTTCGAATCTCCCCAGGCTCAAGGTCGACTCAGCCTTCCATCCTTTCTAAGGTAGGTAAATTGAGGACCCAGATTGTGGGGGCAATAAGCTGACTTTGTATAAATATACAAAAGTATGAAGGCTATTGCTTAGCGCGTTGTAAGCCGCCCTGAGTCTCCGGAGAAGGGCGGCATATAAATCAATTTTTTTAAAAAAAAAAAAAAGGACTCCAGTCCAGTCCTTCCCCATCAATCTCTGCCCAGCATCTTCCCCCACTTGGGCCATGGAGGTCTCTCCAGAGGCCTCCTGCCTTTCTTGGGCTTCCTCCTGAGCTCTTCTTTCCCTAATCTGGGTTCTCCTTCACACACACCCCTTCTCCTCTCCCCCCCCTCACAGGGACGAAATTGCCAGCTGCATCGAGAAGGCCTATGAGAAGATCCTCCTCAATGAGGCCACCCGCATGCTCTTCTTCACCCCCAAAAAGATGTCGGACTACGCCAAGAAGGTGAGAAGGGCAGGGCGACGGGGCCAGTCGGTTGGACTCCCACCCAACTGTTCCCATGTTCTCCTGGAGCTGATCAAGCGGCCATACGGATTCTTGAGCTGCTTTGGCTTCCTCTGTGGGGAACGTCCTTCCTCCCTCCCTCCCTCTCTCCTTCCCTCCCTCTCCCTTTCTTTCTTCCGCCTTCCTTCCTGCCAATCCTTTTCTCTTTCTCCGGCCTGCCTGCCAACCCTTTCCTTTTCCTTCCGTCCTTCCTCTTTTAAGGCCAGCTCAACAATGAAAAGAATGCATAGACAATCTTGCAATTTTTTTTTAAAAAAAATGTTTCTTCCTTCCTTCTCTCCCTCCCTCCCTCTCTCCTCCTTTCTTCCTTCCTGCCAACCTTTTTCTTTCTCCTGCCTTCCTGCCAACCCTTTCCTTCCTTCCTCCCACCCACCCTCCCTCCCTTCCTCTTCCTCATTCCTTCCCTCCCTCCCTTCCTTCTTCTCTTCCTCTTTCCTTCCATCCCTCCCTTTCCCTTTCTTTTTTCCCTTCCTTCCTGCCAATCCTTTTCTCTTTCTCCTGCCTGCCAACCCTTTCCTTTTCCTTCCTTCCTTCCACCCTTCCTCTTTTAAGGCCAGCTCAGCTTCGAAAAGAGTGCATAGACAATCTTGCAATTTTTTTAAAAAAAATGTTCCTTCCTTCCTTCCTCTCCCTCCCTCTCTCCTCCTTTCTCCCTTCCTCCTTCCTTCCTGCCAACCCTTTTCTTTCTCCTGCCAACCCTTTCCTTCCCTCCTTCCTCTTTCTCTTCCTCCTTCCTTCTCTCCCTTCGTTCCTCCCTCCCTTTCTCTCCTTCCCTCCCTTCGTTCCTTCCCTTCCTCCCTCTTTCTCTTTCTCCTTCCTTCCCTCCCTCCCTTGATTCCTTCCTTCCTTCCCTCCTTTCTTTCTTCCTTCCTTCCCTCCCTCCCTCCCTAACGGGCAATGAATTTTCCTGAGACCTTAATTGCAGTTGCTGCGTTGTTGGGCTCATCCACACAACCCTCAACTCACGCAGCATCTCTTTCCTTCCCTCCCCCTTTTTTTTTCTTTTCCCAGCGAGGGTGGCTCCTGGGTTCCAACAACCACTACTGTTTCACGGGGCAGCAGCAGAAGCCGGAAGACGCCACCATCCCCTCCACAGAGCTGGCCAAGCAAGTCATCGAATACGCTCGGCAGTTGGAAATGATCGTCTGAACGTGCCCTCGCTGCAGACAGGCTGGGACTGTGGGCTGTGGCTTTTTCCTCGATATTTTTTGTTTTCTTGTCCGCGTGTGACTGCGCGCGCCGGTTCCGATCGGTCTGGCCGCCTTTTGTCTTAAAACGGGGAACGTGGGAGCCATTGGTGGGGGTGGGGTGTGAGGTCAGTGTGTTTGAGTAAAGCCGATAAGCCAGGCTGGTCCATCGTGTCATTCGGAGTCCTTTTGTTCCTTGACCGCAGGTGGAGAGAGGTCCTCTGGGCATGGAAAGAGAAGCTGATTGGCCTGGGGCTTTTTTGACCGCCAGAAGGAGGGCGGAACTTCCTTTTTACCTCCAGGTGTCAGGGCCAATTTATTATCTGGTCACAGAATATCTGCAGGATTCTCTGGTTTTACCAGAAACGGATTTCCTCAGCTGTCTGATCAGGACCGAATTAAATAGTTCTCCCAAGAACTGTAATTTTTTTTTTTTTTTTTAAATTAGATCATTCTAGCTAGTTTTTTCCTACAACCATGATTATCTTAAAGCCAATTTACCCTTTATGTTATGCCACGGTTTGCTTCCCTAGAGTTTGTAAAATAAGACGCACTAGGCTTGGAGTCTACATAAACCAGGGGTCTCTAAATTTGGCAATTTTAAAACTTGGGGACTTCGACTCTCAGAATTGCCCAGCCAGCATAGCTAGCTGAGGAATTCTGGGAGTCGAAGTTCACAAGTCTTAAAGTTACCAAGTTGGAGACCCCTGGTTTATATCAAAATAAACCTGCATTAGACAAGCCATCTTCCAGTTTAACGGGATGCGTGAGCCCACCATAGCCAAAAATCATGGCTACAGTTGGGAGGCGACAAACTTGACACCTCATCATCAACTGAGACTAAAGGGAATTGCAGTCCAGCCTTCTCCAACCTGAAACCCCTTGAATTAAAATCTCAAAATTGTTCAGGTCATGTGACTTCTGGCAAGGCTGTCTGGGAACTGTAGTCCTAAAGTTGCAGAGAGTAGTATGGACATGCGTCTCCTATCCACACTGCCCCTTTGTATCCTTAGTTCAGCATTTCTCAACCTTGGCGACTTTAAGGGGGGGGAGAGGCAGACTTCAACTCCCAGAATTCCCCAGCCAGCATGCTTGTGAACTTTAAGGAGCCTTGCTGGCTGGGGAATTCTGGGACCTGAAGTTCAGACAGTGGTGAGGAATATTTTATGCTGGCTGGGGAATTCTGGGAGTCAAAGTCCAGACATAGTGGTGAAGGAATGCTGGCTGGGGAATTCTGAGACCTGAAGTTCAGACAGTGGTGAGGAATGTTTCATGCTGGCTGGGGAATTCTGGGAGTCAAAGTCCAGACATAGTGGTGAGGAATGCTGGCTGGGGAATTCTGGGACCTGAAGTTCAGACAGTGGTGAGGAATGTTTCATGCTGGCTGGGGAATTCTGGGACCTGAAGTCCAGACATAGTGGTGAGGAATGCTGGCTGGGGAATTCTGAGACCTGAAGTTCAGACGTGGTGAGGAATGTTTCATGCTGGCTGGGGAATTCTGGGAGTCAAAGCCCACAACTCTTAAAGTAGTCAAGCTTGGAGAGACCCTGGCAAACTCACAAGCAAAACCCGCTGGTGGTGTACAAGGTTTATTGAGCAGGAAACTTGGAGCAGGAATGGTTCAGTCCTCGTTGGCCACGTGTTGCTGTTTGTAAGAATCCAGGCAGAACTTGGTGCCGGCTACCAAGGAGACGGCCAGCATGGCCGTAGCGACCCAGGGAGGTTCGGTCAGGTGGTTAGCAGACGGGTTGAGCCTGGATGGGAAGAGTTTAACATCGAAGGGTGAAGAACGAGAAGCCGACTTGGTTCGCGGCAGCTCGGCCCTCTTAGCAGCGCAACCTCCCAACGGTGGAGGCCCTTCCTCTTACTCCTGCCAAGGTATTGGCAAATGAGTCTGAACAAATGGAGGAGTTGGCATAGACTTTGATTTAGGTAGTCCTCCCCTTACAACCATTCGTTTAGGGACCGTTCAAAGTTACGACAGGGCTTTCAAAACGACCTTGTCCCAGCACGTACGACCATCACAGCGTCCCCAGGTCATGTGATCTAATTTTGGGCACATGGCCACCACCCTATATTTACAACGGTCGTAGTGTTTGTTTCGAGGTCGCATGATCACCATTGGTGAACCTTGCCATCCTCGGCTTCCGACCAAGTCCACAGGGCAATCCAAAGCAGCTTAACCACCGCGGGATTCGCTTGACAAAAGTGATTCCCCTAACAAGCATGGCATAAAGGTCGTAAAATTGGGCGTGACTCGCTCCGTTGTCTGGCAACGGAAATTTGGGTCCCCATCCTGGCCCTACGTCATGGGTCTCCTGCACGAGCCCGCCCGTCTCAAGCCGAGGAATGCCGTATCTTTGCCATGCACATACAACGCAATTTATATTAGAGCCGAGGTGGCGCAGTGGTTAGAATGCAGTATTGCAATCTTAACTCTGCCCATTGCCTGGAGTTCGATCCTGACCGGCTCAAAGTTTGACTCGGCCATCCATCCCTCTAGGATTGGTAAACTGAGGAACCAGATTGCTGGGGCCAGTAGGCTGACATTGTAAACTGCTGAGAGAAGTGTTGTAAAGCACTATGGAGGCGGGTCCTCAACTTACAACCACAACTGAGGCCACCATTTTTTGTTGCTAAGCGAGACAGTTGTTAAGTGAATCCCTGCGGTTGTTTAAATGAGTCGCCCGTTCGTTAAAGTGAACCTTGGCTTCCCCATTGACTTTGCTTGCCAGAAGGTCGCCAAAGGAAAATCACATGACCACAGGTCATAAGTATGAAACAGAGGCCAAGCGTCCGAATTTTGATCCCGGGATGCTGCAAAGGTCTTAACTGAAAAATGGGTCGTACGTTATTTTTTTTTTTTCCAGGGCCGTCGTAACTTTGAACGGTTGCTGGACGAATTGTTGTAAGCCGAGGACCACCTGCATAGAGTTAGGTGTTTTTCCACTTAGCGTCCGGCCACCCCAGTTCCTGCTCACCAAGCCAGAACGTTCTTGGGTAGCTTCGTCTGGTCCTGATGTCTGCAGTAGCATCTCCTGGGACACGAATCGGTGACCTGGAAAACTGGCCAATGGTGGGAACGAGACCGGTCGGCCTCCGGATCTCGGTCGGCACTGGGCTGGGCGTAGGAGGCATCTGGCTCGAGGCTGGCGGGCTTGTCCAGAGGAAGAGAGCGGTCCTGGGCAGAATAACGAGCTACAGGTGAGCTGGTTTCTACCCTGTCCCAAGCGGCTAACAAGAGATACACCTTCAGTAATACCTTCAGGTCTGCCGTCTTGTTTTAAGAAAGTACCGTATTTTTCGGACTATAAGGCGCACCAAGATTTCAAAGAGATAAACGGAAAAAAAAAATGGTTTTGTCCTCCCCAGCCACCAGGAGCACTCTGAAGGCCTCCCAAACCCTCTGCAGGTCCCGTTTTTGTGAAAAACAGGCCCATTTTTTTTTTGCAAAACCGGGGCCTGCAGAGGGTTTGGGAGGCCTTCAGAGTGCTCCTGGAGACTGGGGAGGACAAAAAAAGCAACGTGTGCAGGGTTTGAGAGGCCAAAAACGGCTGTTTTTTCACGAAAACGGGGCGTGCAGACAGTTTGGGAAGCCTGCAAAGTGCTCCTGGGGCCTGGGGAGGGGGAAAAAATGGTGTTTTTGCAAAAAATGGGCCCGTTTTCAGCCACCCAAACCCCCCACGCGTTGCGTTTATGCCCTCCCCAGCCCCCAGGAGCACTCTGCAGGCCTCCCAAACCCTCTGCAGGCCTCCACGCGGGCGGGGTTTCGGGAGGCCAAAAATGGCTGTATTCGGTGTATAAGACGCACCAACATTTCCATCCTCTTGGGGGGAGAGAAAAGTGCGTCTTATACCGAAAAGTACGGTATTCAAACCATTAACTTCTTTTTTTTAAAAAAAGGTGCATGATTGGGTTCCACCTGCTGCAAACTTCCTGCTTTGTTGAACCCTGAAGATTCGCTAAGAAGCATCACACGGAATTATAAGCCGTGATGTGGTCTACTAATTTTTATTAAAAATTGCCCAGGTTTTTTTTTTTTAAAAAAAGGCCAACTTTGAAGGCCCGTTAATGGTGCCCGAGCCACAACCTTCTGAATCTCTTCATCTCCAGGTGGTTGTTTTTTATTTCTCATTGCTATGGCTTTTGAATTGGGTAATCGGTTAGGTGAGATTGGCGGGGCGATATTCAATCAATAAATCTCCCTTTTAAGTGTGCAAGGAACGATGTTGAACGCTTGAGAATCAATCCTCTTGGGGGGGTTAGCAGAAACGATGCCTCTGGTGTCTCCCTCCCCCCACCCCCCTTGCAGGGTGTCCTAGGAGGGCTACCCGGAATACCGCGGAGGAATCCGTGACACCCTGTCCATCACCTTGGGGGGGACGGGGACCAAGTAAGTCCCAAATATTTTCAGACTAGAAAGGGGCTAGGTGGCTCAGTGGCTAAGACACTGAGCTTGTCGATCAGGAAGGTCGGCAGTTCGGCGCCCTAGTACATGTCTGCGTGAGCAGGGGGTTGGACTAGATGACCTCCCAAGGTCCCTTCCAATTCTGTTACTATTAAAGGATCATCTCTAAACCTTTCTTGATAGAAGGAGAGGTAGATAGGGGGATTGGATAGAGGGGGAGGGGAAGCCAAGCCTGGCCAAATCAACTGGACTCACCAAAGGCTCCCCGAAATAAAACGGCCTTGCGACCTTTTCGAACGGCGGAAAAGGAGGGACGCCGTCTAACCGCAGCTGGGAGTTCATTCCGAAAGTGCGGGGCCATTGCTTTGCTCCTTTCCCCTTCAACAGTTTCCCTTTCTGCTGCCCTGAAGGTTTGAGTTTCTCCTTCGATTTGGGAGCTGCCAGGCATTGCTTACGGACCTTGGGCCTGGTCTGGGTTGCAGCTGGCACCTTCGGGTCCGCCGTGGGTTCCAACAAAGCACAGGCCGGGGCCCAGAGATAGATGGAAGAAACCTCCAGGGTCTCCTGGGAAGAAGGCTGACTTGGACTTACGAACTGCACCGGCGGTGGATCGTCCACCAGTGGCATGATGGCGTGCTGGGCAGTGCTGGACGAGAGGCCCTTAACTGGGGACCTTTCCTTGGCCCCCTCTTCCACATCTTGGGACTTCCTGCAGGATCTCTGGGGACTCCCGTTGATTTCCGGCCCCATGGCTTGTTCCAACAAGAGGGTAGTCACTGGTTGGGAGGAATCGCCGACGTCTGTCCCTTTGCCCCCAGGGCTGGGCAGGTCAAGGCAGTTGGCCGCAGCTTCCTCTCCGGCCCCTGGCGCCTCGTCCAGTAACATTTCGCTCTCGTCGTGCACTAACCAATCGCATTTGGTGTCGCTGCTCAAGAAGGCTACCACTTGGGACACGGCAGTGCCAAATTTGGGCAGCTTTCTACTCTGGCTTTTACGGCGCTGGGGGTATGGAGTCGGGGGCCGGGGCCTCTGCCATTCGGCCCGCTTGGGGTTGCCGGTGGACAGTTCCTCAAAGAAAGTGACCACCTGTTGGGTGGGAGTAGCCGGGCCCGATTCCTTGGGGGTCACTTTTTTGATGTGCTCCAAGAACAGCTGGCGGAGGGGCGAGAACTCGTCCGAATTGTTCCTGTCTGGCCCTTTGAAGCACGGAAGCTTCTTGCCCGCCGGGCTGAGGTGCTGCAAAGCTTTCGGCAGGACGGGCGCAGGGCTGGCGGGCAGCTTCTTCTGTGGGCACTGCTTCAAGACGTCGGCGTAGGAGATGCCGGAGGAAATGACGCTGGGTTTCTGTTTGACGATGCTGGGCGGCCACTGTCCCGGTTGGATGGTCACTCTGTAGAAGAGGTTCACCCCTTTGTCCAAAAATTCCTGGTATATGGATTCGTAATTGACCGCCTCCGGTCCTGCAGCTTCTGGGTTCGCCTCCGCCTTGGCATGGCTTCCCGGGGAAGGCTGAAGCTTCTCCGTGGGGTTTTCCCAATCCGTGGACAGTTGGGCAGCACCAGCTGGCCCTCGGAAGTCCCCGTCGCTCCCCGGAGCGCTGTCCGGCTGTCTGGTCTGCTCCTTCTCCTTCTGGCCAGTCCCCCACGACAGTGGGACCTTCTTCACGCCCGACGGAACAACGGAACCAGGAGGTGCCGGCCTGAAGATATTCTTCTCATTGAGGGGTCGACAGCCTGGACCTCCCAGCTTGTCCTCAACTGTCTTCAGCAGCTCCGGGCCATGTGTCGCTCCCCCTACCGGTTTCTTGGCTGCAGCCGGAGCTTCTGGCTGTTGGTCTTCGTTCTCCACACCTTCTTTACTGCTCGTTTTAATGTGCCGAGTCCAACACACCTGAGTTTCCACCTTAGGTGGCTCCCCTCCTTGGCTCATTTCGGTTACTTTTGCGGGCTGAAGTAGCATTCCTCCCGTGCTCTTGGCAAGGTGAGCGTTGTCTGCCTTGGCCTTCCCTCTGGTCGGAGCCTTCTTGGCGCTCAACTCTTGGGGTTCCGGGTGAGTGGCTGTTGGCGGAGTGGGCCTCAGCGCCATCTTCAGGCCTTTGGGGGGGTCCTCCGGGAGCCCCTGCCCGCCGGGAAGGTCGGCCCTGCTCAGACAAGACAAGCCCCATTTCTCCGCCCCGAGGTCCTTGTCGCAAAGACTGGCCTCTTTCATCCCACCGCTGACCGAGTTCTGGGTCCACATGGAGGAGAGCTTCAGCTTCGATTTTTTGGAATGGTTCTTCCCCATTTCTGCCGTTCCGGTTTGTCGGTCCCCTCCCCCTGGCTCGCTGCCGCTCAGCGTCTGGCTGACGACCCCTTTGTGTTCGGGGACCAGAGGACCAGGGGGCTGGCTGCCCAAGTCATGTTTGCTTCGGTTTAACTCCCGTTCTGACTTGGTCGTGTCCGGGTGCGTCTTCTCCACCTTGTCTTTGACCGATTCTGATTCCTGGGTGGCTTCGGATTGAACATTGCCCATTATATTCAGTCATCCTGCCGAGAAAAAAAGGGGGGGGGAGTGTGAGACGACGGGAGAAGGGGTTCACAGGGGAGTCGGGGGGGAGGATTGGGGGCTAACAGGGCCCAAGATAGAACTAGGGAGGGGCAGGGTTCGAATTCCAGGACTCCCAACGGACGTGCAAAATATAGCAGCAAAACAAGAATTCAGTTCACGCGATTACACTCAACTTTGGCAGCTTGAAGATGGGTGGACTTCAACTCCCAGAATTCCCTAGGCAGCTATGCATGCACGCGCCAGCCAACTGATTTTCAGGCCTTCTGGGCCCACCGGAAGTCGGGAAACGGGCTGTTTCCGGCCTCGGGAGGGCCTCCAAAGTGGAGGCTGTTTTTGCCCTCCCCAGGTTCCTAGAAAGCCTCTGGAGCCTGGGGAGGGCAAGAAAACGGGCCTACTGAGCCCACCGTAGCCATCACGTGCCAAAAGCAGGAGCAGCGCAGGGGGTCGCGCACGCATGGGGGGGGGGGGCACCTTGAATTATGGGTGTGGGCACACACGAGTAGGGCGGTATATGTTCCAACAGGCGGGGCTAAACATATGAACATGTGAATGAATTTTTTAAACGTGATCTAATTCTGGGTTTTATTTAATTGACCAAACTAAGTAATCATTTTAATTAGCAATTTTATGATGTTTGTGTGTCTATATTTTTCTTGACTGTACACCGCCTTGAGTCCTACGGGAGAAAGGCGGTATAGAAATTAAATAAATAAATAAATAAATAAAATAATAAAATAATAAAATAATAAAATAATAAAATAAAATAAAATAAAATAAAATAAAAATCAACTAAACTAAACTGGTATGAGGTCTCCTGCTGGAGCAGAGGGGGGGTTGGACTAGAAGACCTCTGAGGTCCCTTCCCACCTCTTGTCCCTTCTGTCATTCTGAGCCCATTGAGAGAGGGACCCTTCTCAACGGTTGGTTAGAGACCTCTGGGGGGGGGAGTCCCAAAACCAGGACCGGAGAAGATGCTGCTAAGCCCCCCACCCCAATAAACTCCCCCCCTCTTCGGATGGGGGTGGGTGGGAGGGCATTTCTGTCTTGATCCCGCCCCCTGGAGGGCTGACCCTCTCCTTTCCCCCCCCCCTATACACACACACACACACCCCAGGGGTCTTTAGCCCCCTCCCCCCAAATCCCGCCCCTCCCCCTCACCGTCTGGCTTTGCGGCTGCTCCCGGACGGAGCTGGGGAAATGGACCGGGTGGGCGGGGCCGCAACGGATATAACGGGCGCCCCGCCCCCTG